TTATTCTAAATTCTATTTCATTTCTCCTCTTTGTACATTTAATACGAACTGGAAATCCATAAATAAAGCGAATAATTCAAAACTATGGTTGATATTCCATTATTTCTGCCACAGCATCATTTTTCCATTTTTATGTATCTCGAATGCCATCTATCTCCAATCTATATAACGTTAAAAAATCAATGCTACCTCCCGAATACATTTTTTATTCACAACCCAATCCTTTTTTAATAAAAAATAAAGTCTACATGTAGTATGCATCCCATCCATTAAACCACAATGTATAATTGATAATCTTCGTTGACAAGAACTTGATTTTGGTGTCCCATATAGTCACCGTTCAATATCGGGCTTTACCACGTTATATAGCAGTAAGCTTTAATATTCAAAATTAAATTAAGTCATTGTCGAAAAAAGAATTTAAATCTTTATGCAAAGAAAATGTTTGCATAAGAAGCATTATGGGTGCAAAGTTATTGGAGAGTATTGAGGCGTTGGTAAACCTCACAGTCCTTTAGTAGTGGAAAACCACCCTCGAGGCGTGAGGTTTCTAGAATGATCCGGACGCCCGGAGCTTGGTTTGTGACAACTTTGATCGGACTAGTTGGAGTCTAACGGCGGCATGGGGCGAGCGACGCCGTCAAATAGAACCCCCAGGGGTTGGGGTCTGAAAAGGCGAACTTTGGTCTCCCCGCCATTTATTCTGTTTGATGTGGATTGTTTCGCGGCGACGAAAGCAGCTTACGGTGGGCGAATTTATTGCCAGCAAAAAGCCGATACCGCCGCCGACCTGCTGTACAAGAAGCAATTGGAACAAGCCATGCGCGAATAACCTCCGCTATCGAAACTAAAGCTCAACGTGGAAATTGAAATTGAAATAGAAATAAAACGATATATTTTCTGACATCAAAAATACGCTCCCTTTGTGTTCCTGCGGGATATCAAGGGGTGTTACCACCCCCTAACTAGGCACGTTAATTTAAAACCTTCACTAAACGAATTACACTAACCTAGAAAATGCAATTAGGGTCTGCCCGTTTCAAACGAAACCCGAACATGGGGCGCGGAGATGAAGCTTTATAGCGAATTTGCATTATTAAACTTTCAAGAGAAGGGATTAGGGTGATGAGGACTTTAGGGTGTACTATGGTCTAATTTTTATCTTTTTAATTACACAATTTGGGCGAGGTACTTTTAAGTAGATTACAAATTTACAAAATAATAAGAAAAAAATTTACATTTTTGAATTTTTCTTTTTCATACCCTTGCGATTAAATCCCTTTGGGTTCGTCGTACGTCGTAATCAACAAACCCCCGAGATTTCACGTAGTCGGCTAAAACATGCACCCTTCCAAAGCTCGGTCGGACTCTCCTCGGAGCCCTTCAAAATCGCCCTCATCGGTTCGTAGAACGATTCTTACCCTCCCATTTCTAAGAGGGTTGATGCGATACGGTTGAGGTCGCACGTTAAGGATAGTGATTGGCAAGAAGAGAGATTAAATTTTCACTTAATTGGTATCGTAAACGGTGTAAATTTGGGGAAGATAAAATCATATTTAGCGTTATAACATAGCCTTGTTCCTATTTATTTGAAAATGCGTCACTTATCTATAAATACACGGCACATCTATGCATATAGTCAATATCTAATAATCGATAACCAATATACGCATTTAATAATCCTGCTGAATTATGCCTGCTCTTGGCATTCACCGCGTGCCTTATGGATATTAATATTGGAACATAAGGGCATACAGTGAACACTAGGAGAATGACAAACGATGACTCAATGATTCTTCAAAGTTCTGCTAAAAACTTTAAAACAGTTCATTAAATTAACGATAAAAAAAGTACAAATTAACTGTAATTCATTAACCATGGAAACATCGATAAAACAAATGAAAACAAATACATGGCAACCTCGGATTTAATAATAGCCGAAAGTTTTGTAAATCGGCCATTAACTTTGTTGTATGATTATCACTTAAGTATTATAGTGGCAGTAGTAGTAGTAATCGTTTATGACAGATCCGAGTTAACAATTACGATATTTCGTCACGATACGTCGTCCTCCGTTATCAGCTGTTGCAGCCACGTGACTTTAGCGTGTGACAAAGCGTGACGTCATTGAAGCAGTGTGATCGATATACGCTACATACAATAAGGTTATTTTGGATGCTATGGTTAGATCAATTACTACAAAAACGTGCAGGAAGGGTTCCTATATATATATATATATATATACAGAGTGAGTAGCCATTTTTAGAAATCAAGGTTTTTGTCATTTACATATTCAATTTCTTTACTAAGGAACAAGTACGTTTTATTTATTCATATACGGTTTCCTTTGAACTGGATAAAATTGTTAATATAACACAGATATTTTTATGGCTTCATCGAGTTCGATGTTTTCACATTTCTAGGTTTCTTTTCCATATAAAACTTAGATGTAACTTTATTGAAAAGCATATTTCAAATCACAAATAGTAGTTCCCCTTTATTGTCACCCACACAGACTGCACCCGGCAGCGTTAATAAACCCCTAAAAAAGATCGATACGCCAAGTAGCTGTACCCCGTGAGTAATGCTTGGCAGTCTTTCCCACACGTTGTATACAAAATTGCGCCCTAAAGTCTTTGTGCATTAGAAACGTCGCCTGCGACTCACCCCGACATCATAGAGTACTATGCACGAGTGTATTCTGTGTGTGTACGGGAGAAAGTGCCGTTTTTGGGGTGCGAGTTGATAACGTCACATAGGGAATAGAACAATAGGAAACCGGCGAAGGGGATCCGATGTCGTTATGCCGCAATCGATATTTCGCAGTTTCGCGTAACAGATAAAAACCCAGACTATGATTATGACGTGGTACCACGACGATCGATTTTTTAAGACGTACGGGGTGAATAAGAAATTATTTTTAAGAAACGATTTAATTAACATTTCGCTCAATTCAAATAAGTCACATCTCGCATTTAGGTTTTAACTAATATTATTATAGAATTAAATATAAATTATCATGCTTAAAAATAATTATTCTAAAAATACCGTTATCAGCCGTTTCGCCCTTCTTAGGGCTCATCAGCACGGTATATCTTGCAGGATTGCTACTGGAAACAAGTCATAACAAGATTCTACAAAAACGTATGATCCTACGTCAATCTCAAATAAGTAGTTTATATCATTGTCTTTCTATATTTCTACTCTGCCATAATACTTTTTGATACTAGGTTAGACTAAACTTGTGTCTGCATACATTAATACTGCCATTATAATAAAGAAATGATCAATATCTCAATAAGAAACTCATTGGGGATCTTAGAGCATTTGGTATTATGTTCTATAGAATAAGTCGTTGTCTTATCCTATATTTTACAATTAACTTGAGTTGATTGCCTTCTTGGTTTGGATAGTTTTAGTTTTAGTATAGAATACAAAGTGCAGACTTCAAGGCTAAATCCAGAAATAATTAATGGATGTATTTAGAATCGGAATACCAAAGGAGATTTTGTGGTGATTTTAAAGGTAATGATTAAAATCTGGAATATACATCGTATCCAGAAATAAATTAAAATAAAACTTTTGAAGTCTTTGGACCAAAACCTCAAAAGGACCAGATTTATGGTCCAAGTCCTGGACCATAAATGCTGCATGTTCAGGGTTGAAGTTTTGAACAATACTTTATAATACAGGGGAAGATTGATGGCAAAAGATTAAGAGGCAGGTCACTGGTGAGATATATAGAGCAAGTAAAGGATCTGATACACGATGTGGGTTTCCCAAGTGATGCGTATTATAGAAGACAGATAGGCATGGCGAAGGGTCACCGCACAACCTCCATGAGCGAATCACTACGTCGGAAATCGGACAACAACTGAAGAGAGATAGATTTAGAATATTTGGAGACCCCCTTTTCATCGAGTATTTGGTGAACGGCGCACTGCTGAGTAACTCACCAATTCTTATACGAGTCAGCACTCAGTTGTGGTGTTGCCGAGGTTCTTAGCACGATGTACTGCTTTGTCACAAGCTTTGCCTTAACTGTTCCATATAAAAGATTTTATGAATAGCCAAATACGTCGCAACTTTGAATTTTTAGCTACTAGGACTAATCGTTCTAATGTTATTGGATTTACTCTATGCATTATCTTGGAAACTTTCTATAATAATATATATTGCTAAGGTCATTAAACTTCAGAGACTTAAAATATACTTGCACACAGTTACAACATTACAGAAGACTACATCAATCAATAACATTGAAGCGGCTTTATGTCATGAAATAAGTTGTGGTCTATATATTGTGAAGATGAGTGATGATTGTCGGAATGTTCTCTGAGTCGGTGGACCCACAAAATTAGAAGATAGAAGGGCGAGTGCTATCCTCAGTAATTCGAAAGCACTGCACCCACCGATGAATCACATTCCTCAGGAGTTTCAACAGCAATCCGGAAGTGTTGTTTCGATGAATACCATCCGTAAGCAAAGACGTCTGCTTGGTTTTAATGGTCGTGCTGCCGCCTAAAAGCTTTGATCACTAAATCTAACCGTGCTGCTCGGTTAATGTTTTGTGAATCACGTCGACAGTAGACCATAGATCAGTGGAAGAAGCTTCTCTGAAGCGACGAATCAAGGTTCACCCTCTACCGTTCACTCATTGTTGTTCAGTCATGTGTGCATTGAAGTTTACCTATTCTATCTTATACTCTTCAATCGATGTCTTTGCTTAATTACAACGATTGCGTAAGATGGTGTTGTCATCCTCTTTGCATAGAAAATATAAATTTCTTAGTTAAAATGGTAATATAGTTATATAGGGTGTATATAAACAAAAGCTATAAATGTTACGAGGTGATTGATAAGAAGAATTTAAAGAAATTTTGCAGCAAATATTGAGTTAAGTTGAAGATGATTGAACATGGTAAATGTTGATTTGTATGCAGACTTTTTTAACTCGTTATATAAAGACAATGATAAAATCAATCGCGCAAGAAACCGTGGACAGCTGATTTTACCCAAAAAAAAAATTTTAAAAGTAGGCAGTAAAATTGAATAATCGCATCTATCGAACCTGAAGTTAACACGAACAAAACCGAACAAATGCATCACTATCTCCCAGCACAACCGGAGTTCGATTGACCAGAAGTCAACATTATTACTATAGAAGTATAAGTTAATTTAAAAAATATTTATTTGGGAAAATCAGCTGTCCTTCTTTATTTTTTTTAATATTTTTTTTAAATTTTTTTAGGACGAACTTCTAGAATATATTGTTTTAGTGTTCGAGGCAGAGCTCCCAAATTCTGCCTTCGCACATTTGACCGATCGTGCTCGGTAACATAAGGTTCGTTGAAATAGATGCAAATATTGAAGTGATTACAATTTCATTATAAATTGGTGATTAGAGGTGAAATACTTGATTAAATGTGTCTATGTACTAATGATCGGTGCTGTCTTTCCGTAATGATTTTTTTACCCTTTAATATTTGTATTCAGGCTGCGAGGTTAGACTGTGTGGTCGACATACTGGCTTACCCACGATTTTACTTCATCTGTCAGCTTTTCTTTTCCAGTACGATAGGACTGCAACAAAAAAATCCATTAGTTTTGGGCAAGAAAAATAGGGTAATTGAATTTTTCAACGTTTGTAAAGGACAGATGTACAATTTTAATTTATGAATATCGTACTATGTGTACGCGTGTGTAGCGATAAGGGGAAGAATCTATGAAGGGTGAATGTAGCAACCCAATGGGGTAACACCCTTATTAAAAAAAATACCCTATGTGAATGTAGATAAGGTTACAAACTGACTTATAAGTTTAAAAAAAAATTATTAGACCTAATTGTTTAAAGGAAATTACGATACGATGATTGAAAGGCAAACACTATTGAATGTACGAATAACTCTCTGCAGGTGGTAGCAGTTAACGACTGTTCAAACAATCCCTTCTACGGTTTCTGTTATGCCGTGGGGTGTCAAAGCCGATTGTTTGGACACCGCACAAACCACGTCACGAAAGCACCGTCGTAATTAGCAAGGTAAACCACCTTCTTGGACTAGATTTAGTTTTATCAATAGGTTATTCTATAAAAATGTTGAAATCCCACTAAATATATTTAACCGTTTTTATGATCCCTTTACAAACAATTAATAATAAAGTTATACGACTTAAAGAAGAAATTGAACACGCACATTCCAACACACGAATACACGACATTAATCACATGGTGAGGCCACTTATGTTGGACACCAGGGTGTCACTTCTATGTTTAACAAAGGGCACCGTCCCGCGTGTTACCGTCAACATTTACATATCTGTCCCGTTCAATAAGGCACAAACCGAGGCGCATGCAGACCGACGATAATAAGGGGTGGGTTATTTCACTTTTAAACCGTATGCGGTAATCGATCGTCCTATTCTAAGGAGAGTCGGTTTATATCGGATTCGATAACCAAAAAGAAGACACGTGATGTGCAACCTAACCTGAATCATTCAACTCTAGACGATGACCTTCATTCAACTGTGTTGTTAGTGGTTAATAGTAATCATAATGTTATTGAAGTAAAGTGTAATAATAAAAAGTTAAAGATCCATTGAAAATCGAAATCAAAATTGTTATGTACTCACTAATTTGAAAGTATCAACGTAAAGCGCCATCTTTTACTTGTGATGATGGGGTTTTATTCACGGCCTATATTAAAAAAAAGCACAGAATGCACTCCGACGATGTTACATTGAAGCCGAACCGGCACTGACATGCAACTCTTTCGCGATGTGTTCACTCCAATGAGGACCTTGTCTGCGCATCATTTTGCCAAAAGGTACCGCCCATCATCACGACCTGGCAACTGACAAAATTTGAAAATCGTCAAAAAAGTTAAGTCAATTTGAATTGCATAGTGATTTTAATCCGACAACGACGTTCGAGCGAATGTAAACAAAGGGTTTGATACGAAGGGTTGGTAATCTTATCGTGATTATAGGGTTAAGTCCCCCTCTTGCACACATACAGCTGATTATTACTACTATATTTTTGTTTCATTCGTATGCATACATGAAAGTATTGATATAATTCAAAGCTTGAAGGCAATTTAGTTAGAATTTTTGTGTTACTAAAAAGATCTCTTACATCTTTAAACTTTGTGACGATAGTGTTATGTCGGTCACTGATAATTAATCACTTTTTTAAGTAGTCACTATTAGTGTTAATCTGTAGCACAACACTGTCTCTTTCATCAGCAAATAATGGTTGGTGGTGTTCCGTGAACGCAACAAAAACGCGCTGTGGTGTAAAATGTATTCGGTATGGATATATATGTATCTATATAGATATATAAGCCACTTACCAAATAGCACTGAAGCAATGGTAGACCTGCAGACGCCAGTCTGTCTACTCACGTTATGGGTCGTCGGGACGCTACTCGACGCTGTGTTCGGCGTTTGCGCAAGTTGGACGCGGAGCGTCGGTCCATCCCCACCGCTTTGTCGGCATCCCTGCTGGAGCGACGCCATTGGATAAACGAAGCCCGGTCCTGTCTCTTCTATTTTTATTTGGTTCGGAGAAAATTTTCGGAAAAATTAATTGCACGCATTTCGAGCGTTCCTTTAGGAACCCCGACGACGGTGCTCCCGGAAAACGCACACCTCTAACCTCTTCGATCGTTTGCCGAACTGCGATAGTTTGCCGATGTTGGGGGAGTCCGCCCTCTACAGAGCAGGGGTGTGGATCGATTAGGACGGTTGTGAGTGAAACAAGAGGTATCGGGGTTCGAAGCGCGCTATTCAAAACCGAATAAGGTCAATTCCCGGGTTTGAGACTAAAAGGGGAATTAACTATTTTTTTTTTTAGAAAATATAGTATAAGAAAAAATATCTCTGGCGATGACAGCAAATTGGAAACTCAATGTCCAACTAGATCAAAAGGGGAAATGGGGATTTATAAAATCTGGTAGTGCAGTTCGTCGCCGCATTCACAATCCGCGCTTTCACCTACGTGAATAACTGTATCGGTCGCCACCACCCCCTGTTTTCCACCCCTTGGTATTCCCGTCGTCCGTTTTAAACCGGCTCGAACCGGGGCGCGGTCGCAGCGGCCTGCACATACAAGCCGAGGCAAAGGGTTGCCAAGTTACCAGCTGCACCTGGATCGGCCCTGGGATAGAAAGCTCGAAAACGAGCGATACCCGGCCATGCACTATGAGCACAGGACAATATTGGAGACGATGGTTGCCAAAACGGAAACCTTCCGCGGCAGCAGGTTCCAGCAAGTTTGTTGGTTCTATAGCAGTCAAACTTCTTTCAATATAAAAGCAACTCCCAAAGAACCCAAAGAAATGAAACTGAAAATTTCTTTTAAAATACACAATCTAGTTAACTCCAAGAAATAGAGTTCTGTTACTAGTATAATATGATTAAAACAAAGCAACCGAGGAGATCGACGGTATTTATTTGCCCACCGGTTTTTATCGTTTTCCGATGTTGTACGATCGAATTTATTAGCGTTTCAGCAATAAAGGAAATACGTGGTCGCGGGATTTATGAAAAACCACAAAACCCCTTTATCGTGAGATAATATAAAATCGCTATGTAATCCTTACTAAGCCCAAATATGCAAATAAAAAAAAATTAATCATACAACTGACCCTTTCTTCTTTTACGCTTCATAGTTTTTTTAATACAACGCCTAGGGATGCGAGGTCTTTGTATTGACTCCCTATTCCCGTCGGCAATTCTATTAAAAAACTAGACTAACAATAAGAGAAGTTTAGACATAAACGCATCTGTAATATGCAAATTAATTTATAGATGGTCAAATTGTAAGCAGATGGTGAATTTAGCATGATATTTTTCAATTCATATTTACTGATTGTTCCATACTTTCAGAGCTTTTCGCACATAATCGTAAGTCAAAGTTCCGTGGGGCTTATGCCGATCTCGTTAAAATAAACATTCGCTACCCGTGCTGGGGAACAAGGTAACAACGTAATAAATACGGGAATTACGTCCCGTCAGGTAAGCGACGGCAGCAACGGTGGTGGTAGAGGCGGAAGTGGAGCGCCTACGTAGAGAGCGGAGTCATAAAACTGCCCCCTACGCTACTTTTGCTTCTACTGCCACTGAAAAAAAGAAGTATCGCCGAGAAAAGGGAAGCTACGTGGGCTTTCTCCCCTACTCTCGTAACGTTCCTCGGTAAAACGTAGATATAAAATCGCGCGACATCCAGTTATTAACGTTGCAAAAATATGTCACGCACGCACCTTCCTTTTAGCATGCGGGAGAACCGCTCTCGAGTTGCTAAGCAACACCGCCTTCCAGTTTCAGAACTTTTACACCCAACTGTCGATCAAGGTTATCGTCAATATGACGGAGGAATTGTGTAATATCTCTTTGATATCTATAAATGGAAAATATAAATAGGAAATCAAAAAAGGCCAGAGAAGTTAAGTTGATGTATTACCTCAAGAACGAATAGAGATTTTCGATTACGGTTTACTACATAAAAAACTACGTTTTCCTCTTAAAATTTCGATTTAATCCGACTTTTTAAATGCAATGGAACAAAATAGATAACTTTATAAAAACATAAAAATTCTAGTTGACTTCAAAAATTATTACCTCAAAACGATTAAGAAGTTTTAATCGCAGTTTTGTTCATGAAAAAGTTCATATTTTGCTCTATAAGTCGTAAACGTTTCATCAAGATATCTCAAGAATCCGATTTATGAAAGATTAGATAGAGATTTTTTAAAGTTATCTTAAAAAATCGTTAATTTTATAAGTCCTATATTTATAAATTGATTAACTTCAAAACTTGTTATCTCAAAAACTAATAGAGATTTTCAATTGCGGTTTATTTTATACAAAAGTACATATTTTTCTCTGTAAATATAATAAAAATTTTATTGAGCTATATCAAGAATTCGGTTTATCACGATTTTTTAAAAATAATAAAAAAAAATTGTTAACTTCATAAAGTTCACAATAAAATTGAAATTGTTAATATATTTTCCCATTTATTCTCTATTTGTTCGTCTAAATAAAGTTTAAATTGATTCATTTCGACCAACTGGCTCGGACATGTCTAACTTTCCCAGTTAAATAGTTGTCCTGCTCAGAGGCTTTATGTCGTGAATTTAGTTTGAAAGCACTCGATGTATGTTGACCAAGAACCGTTATGTTACACAGAAACTTTCTTCTACAATAACTAACTTATAGCAACAATTAATTGCTTGTTACAGGGAAACTGTGGCAGAACCAATTTTTTTGTATCATTTATGTTAAATAAAAATATGATAAAGTTGAAATTCTAAATATTAATTGAACTTGAAACGGTTCGTAAAATTATGCAAACTCCCTATATAGCAATTCGTAATAAACCACATTCAGAATATTAATTGTTCCACTCCACATGGCAACCCGTCATACGAAATTCGTCCAGCTGTACCACGAATTTAACTCTGTCGGCAATTAAAGGGGTGCTTAGCTATCCTCTTCGTCTTCCCTTGGGGATGTTTCGAAAGCCTTTGTCTCCGCCCATCTCAAATTCGATATTTTGGCTTGTCTCCGTTGGAGGAGGCACGTACATTATTAAATTCTATTTATTCTCGTGGAAAAATTAGCTTTTATCCCATCCTTGCAGAAGACGCAACGAGGTTTCATCGTTTATACGATGCCGTCGTTTCCGCATCTCCCCTTGTCGATTTCGAGGCGAAGAGCACTTGAAATAACAACGTTAGAGATTTTTCCAGAGATTTTCTTAGAAGATTTCAATGGGAACCGAGTTGGAAGAATGAACTTCTGAAGTGGGTTTTTATTTTTAACAAGAAATTTGATGTACTCTTTTTCCAATTAGTTTCTCGATAATGGAGTAGTAAAAACTTATATTACAACATTCCTATTAATTGCATTCTGCTTTAGTAATCCTGTCATAATCAGTATGTCGTCTAGAGCTTGGGAACTACATCCCACGTAGTCTGGTTCAAATCCTAAACGTTAGAGCCTAGAATCCGGTAATCTCCTTCATAATTCTACATATATTTGGATTATCCGGCATCCTTAACACCGGTATTCTGTGAGTATACGTTGCTATATCGAAATCTAAGCGATTATCAGACATAATGCTTTTGGGGGAAGCGTTCAAAGTTGTCGTTTGAGGAAATTTGGGGAAAGTTGAGGGAGAAAATAGCGTTTAACTCCGCCTTCTATGACGATATTGAAAATCGATCAACGTCCTGCCGCCCGAATAGAATGCACTCAGTATCCCAGCATCCGAAGGACACTTCTTAAAGGGGGTCAGAAGTTCGGGGCGGGGTGTTTCGGTAGCTAAAGCTCGTGCTATTTTGGGGTGCTAGCAGTAGGAGAGCATGGCAGAGCGATCCGTATTGACCGAATTCCGGGAAAGGAGTCTACACAAGTGACTTAACCGCGCAGGATTCTGGAACGCGTAGAAAAGCTTCACGGAAAATCAAATAAACGAAGGTGCCATCTTCCAAATATCACAATATTACATTTTATCAATAAAACGTGTGATTTGTAACGCTTTTTTGTAACTTTTTGATAAAAATAAATTTATGAATAAATTTAGTGAGGTCATGTTAATTTTAGATATTTGTTTATCTAGGTCAAGTGAAAATAAATAATATTAATAAGCACTTTTTGAAGATGATTATTCACGATTATAATTATTTATTTTGTCGAAGAATATCGGTTCCATGGTGTAATGGTTAGCACTCTGGACTTTGAATCCAGCGATCCGAGTTCAAATCTCGGTGGAACCTTAATTTTTTTCTTGTTTCAATATTAAATCAACAATTACACATTTTAGAATGTTCAATCGTATGCAGATTGTACATTCTAAAACGAATAATCGCTTTAAGAGTTAGCTAAGTTAAAGATCGGACTGAGTAAAAGTTCAATTATATGCTAATGCATTCGATGCATCATTTTGCAAAATAAAGGTATAAATGTACGTCCTGATTATGAGGTTTTTGCTAAGAAACATCGGTTCCATGGTGTAATGGTTAGCACTCTGGACTTTGAATCCAGCGATCCGAGTTCAAATCTCGGTGGAACCTAAGTTTTTTACCTTTTTCCTACATTTTTTAATAGTTACAGATTTCATGGCTTCCGGAATTGTTTGCAAATGAAAGAACACAGGTTCCATGGTGTAATGGTTAGCACTCTGGACTTTGAATCCAGCGATCCGAGTACAAATCTCGGTGGAACCTAAGTTTTTTACCTACTTTCTACTTTTTTTAATAGTTACAGATTTCATAGCTTCCGGAATTGTATCTAAATGGAAGAAAACAGGTTCCATGGTGTAATGGTTAGCACTCTGGACTTTGAATCCAGCGATCCGAGTTCAAATCTCGGTGGAACCTAAGTTTTTTACCTACTTTCTACTTTTTTTAATAGTTACAGATTTCATAGCTTCCGGAATTGTATCTAAATGGAAGAAAACAGGTTCCATGGTGTAATGGTTAGCACTCTGGACTTTGAATCCAGCGATCCGAGTTCAAATCTCGGTGGAACCTAAGTTTTTTACCTTTTTCCTACATTTTTTAATAATTACAGATTTCATGGCTTCCAGAATTGTTTCTAAATGAAGGAACACAGGTTCCATGGTGTAATGGTTAGCACTTTGGACTTTGAATCCAGCGATCCGAGTTCAAATCTCGGTGGAACCTAAGTTTTTTAGCTTTTTCCTACATTTTTTAATAAGTAGATTTCATGGCTTCCGGAATGGTTTCTAATTGAAAGAACGCAGGTTCCATGGTGTAATGGTTAGCACTCTGGACTTTGAATCCAGCGATCCGAGTTCAAATCTCGGTGGAACCTAACTTTTACCTTATTACTTTTTTTTAATGATTATGGAGATTTATGGAATTCGGAATTGTCTCCAAATAAAAGAACGGAGGTTCCATGGTGTAATGGTTAGCACTCTGGACTTTGAATCCAGCGATCCGAGTTCAAATCTCGGTGGAACCTAAGTTTTTTAGCTTTTTCCTACATTTTTTTAATAATTACAGATTTCATGGCTTCCGGAATGGTTTCCAATTGAAACAACGCAGGTTCCATGGTGTAATGGTTAGAACTCTGGACTTTGAATCCAGCGATCCGAGTTCAAATCTCGGTGGAACCTAACTTTTACTTTATTCTTACTTTTTTTCAACGGTTATAAAGATTCATGGAATTTGGAATTGTTTCCAAACAAAAGAATGCAGGTTCCATGGTGTAATGGTTAGCACTCTGGACTTTGAATCCAGCAATCCGAGTTCAAATCTCGGTGGAACCTAACTTTTACTTTATTCTTACTTTTTTTCAAGGATTATAGAGATTCATGGTATCCGGAATTGTTTCCAAACAAAAGGACGCAGGTTCCATGGTGTAATGGTTAGCACTCTGGACTTTGAATCCAGCGATCCGAGTTCAAATCTCGGTGGAACCTAAGATTTACTTAACCTTTTTTTTAATAATTAAAAAGTCTAGGTGATGCTTTTCCTTCTGGGTACCAAATATTGTACTCATCCCCTCCCAATTTTTTTACCTTGTTTGAATCTACTTAAACATCAAGTGAGGTCACAAAAATTATTGACTTATACCAGAGATCAAAGATAACAGTGAACATCATATGTGGGGTTTAGCATAACTTTATATGGATATCATCTAAAAGGAAGATCTTACTTTTTGGTTAAAAATAATCATTTAGAATTCGTTGTACTTTTCCTTATTACAATTAGGTACTACTTTTTTCATTCATATTTATCATATTGCGATACTGTAATAAAGTGTTTAGCAGCAAATCGCGTAAAGTACGCAATGCACAACTACCCAAGGGGTGGATTTCCCCCTGAAGGTTTGAGTGCGCGCGTGTGCGTACACCAGTTTATGAAATTTTCAGCACCACGGTGCCCAGGTAGGGCTAAACAGCACTCGCCGAGATGCTGCACACCCTTGGCAACCGGAGGATCAATATAACAATAAAATGCGCGCAACAAAGGGTGCACGCCCCTATTTATCACATACCTACCTTGATAACACTTGTAATTACCTTCCAAGACGGATGAAGATATTCGATGCGTCACCTGAACCGGAAAGATTGTACAACAATATCGATGTTTGTTGATTTGTAAATCCAGTTAATTTTTTGTTAATAATGATTTAATAAAGTTTACCATTGTGTATTAGTTGGTACATATTTTATGGTTGAGATAGTATAATTTGCGATCGTAAACAATACATCGAATCGCTCTCATAAAGTATGCCCAAAACAGTTTCGCTGTTAATCACGGAACCCGTGTGGGAACTAGTAAACGGTACACGCAACCCGAATTTCGGCAACATTTTTAATTATTGGCCAATGGGGCGGTTTGAATCCGTACGGGAGGGGATGGGTCGTTATTGTACCAGAACAGAACAACCAGTGATTTAATGAGTTCCGAAACGACACACGCTATGAAATGTTTACAGTTTGTCTAAAACTCAAAACACGCCGGTTTTGGTTAACCAATATTAAATTCAACAAATAAAATCGTAAATCATTTTCAATATTTGTTCAACGTCTATTTATCCATTGTATTTCAAAGCGGATTAATTTTCATAAACGATATATTTGAATAACATTTCGGTGAATTTCATGGTAATAAATAGGATGTATCGATTAATAAATTGATTTCGATCTGATCAGATGTAAAAAAAAATCGGCACTGCCAGTCAAAACATCCCCTAATTACGGTGCGGCTCGCTTTATGCGTGCAATTCTAGCATTATCTCCGTCCCGGCTGCTGCCAAAACTGCACCCCGACACCCTCTCCGGTGCCGGCCAAAATCAATAGGGGGTTGCGATCACCCCCACCCCCGCCGCCATCCCTTTTCCCGAGTCTCTGCCCGGCTTTGCCAGCCCGGGGTGGTGCGTGGGACTCGCACTGGTCCCGGGCCCGCTCGCTACGCCTCTACCCCCCCATCTCCAGATGAATAATTTCATCGCGGATATCATTTTCGAAACTCATTAAATCGGTGTTTGTTCTGTACCGGTTCTGTTTGGGTCCCCAAACACCCCTAAGGTTAGTCTCGCCGATGTAGGTTCAATAATTAAAAATGTTACCTGAAAAAAATTCACGATGCACATTGAACCGACTGAAATTTCGAATTAACTGCGGTGATTGAGTCGGATTGATTTTTTGGTTGCCAGTTGGAAATTATTTTTCAACTCGCTGTCGATGTTTCAAGTTCTCAACATTAAATTATAATCATGCACAATTCGTTACGACTACCCAGATAATGACCAATTCTACATTGATATTAGCTATGAAGTCTTCTCAACTAATGCAAACTTTATTTTTAAAGCATCTTAACAAGAGAAACTAAAACCACGGGAAACTGGTTGCCTAATATCTTAGTTTTTTAGAGCAAATTGGTATGAAAAACATCTCTACCACTCTCTACTAAGAGTAACCGTTTCATGCACTATGTGAAATGTAGCGTCATCCTGCAGGAGCAAAAAGTTTTCTATGCCAAGTTCTTCCAACTGTGGATGAAGGAAGTCACGTGTCATTGTTCTTGTCTTCAGGAATGCAAACTTAAAAACATACTAGCTTTTGTGAAATGATAAGTCACAAAAAAATTTGGTATTATAAGAAGAGAAGTGTAATAAAAATCAACAATGCTGAAAGTTCACTAGAATAATTTACGACGACTTCTTAACCAAGAAAAACGATTCCCGAGACGACATTTGTTTTAGTATTTCATTAGAGTAGAAAGACTTTAGAGAGAATAATTCATTGGAAGGGATTTCACGTGAAGTAGTGTAGCCATCTGACTACCACGGAGGAGTAGGACGTTCCGGGAAGCGATTATTTGAATTCAAATAGACTAATTTGTCGCCCTAGTCGGAAACCAGTGTTCGCTGTTCGGGAATGGAATGGGGCGGGAACATTCAATAGTACCCGTCGCGGTCCTGTTTGCACAAGTTTAGCGTTCCCGTCGACGCCGGCGTTACGTGTCCGCATCTGAGGGTTGCGTCCGTTGTTTGCATATTCTCCTGTTTACCCAGACACGAGACCAAAAGAGTTACTCGGGTTTCCAGTCCCTGAAGAGACACCCCAGAGCGAATGTAATTCGTGGCTTGAATTTGATCAGAGATGCCACAACACTGCTTTAACGATCATAGAAATGGAAAAGTCGAAAGGAGGTGGGAAAAAGTCATTGAATTGATTCAAAATATATTTGCAATAACAATTAGATTATAGTTTAATTTTAATATATATGTAAATGCAATGTTTCAAACGAGGTTATACATTTTTCTAGATACTAAAAAATGCATAGAACAACAAAACTAGAACGTGTCATAATAGCAAAGCAGAAAGAGGTTACGAAAGCGGGCGCGTTCGGGCGAACACTTTGTTTGCATTTATTTTTGGACCATCGCAAACGATCTCGCGCTTGCGGTCGCATGTTCATATTTTCCACATTGAATGAAAAAAGAAAAAAAATAAAAATAACGGAGCCAACACTCACACATACACACTTTTTTATCTAGTTAACACGGGCGTGCACAGGGAGATTCGGCGATCCAAGCGGGCCTGGGCTCGTTCGTAGGGTTACACATTGTCGCTGACGTCACGTTCCTGGACAGTAACCATGGATACCATCTAGGGATGCTGTATTTTATTCTCGCCCTCTCTGTCCCGGCACGTTTCCGTCCCTCTCTGTAATTTATTTTGCGTATCCATCTTCTTTACGCCTGTCCCAGTGGCGTACCGTTGCCTATCGCTCTCCCTGTCTAGCGGCGTCCCACCTCCCCTTTTCTCCCGAACCCTATTCCACCCTACACCCGCGAAGGCCCTTTCGTTGGGGCTTCTATCCCCTTACGGCTCTACCCCCGCCCTCGTTGATCTATAATTCATTTTTGGGCGCTCTCTCCTCCGCTATATTATGAATAGATGCGGATATTAATTTTTTAATTAACTCAATTAGTCAACGTTCAACCAGCCGACGTTGGTTTGTTACCAATTTTTCTAAGACTAACTTTAAAGTTTTTTCTTCTTGATAAGATTTACTGGCACTCACAAACTATTAAAGCTTTATTACTTTTTATTACATTAAAGCAATTTTTATTAACACAAGCTCTTACATAATCCAATCTGTATATGTTGTATACAGTGTAATCATATTCCTCTACAATGTTTTACAAATACGCAGCAACTGATGAGGATTAAAATCGAACGATAAACGTTATTGATACATTGACTATTATAATTAGAAAAGCTTTTATTGTAAATTAAGATAGGTATACATAAAGCACCTAAAAACATGTAGGCAAAAAACCCATAAAACATTAATTATTGTGATAAAGCGCATAACATCGCCACTCCTCTTAAAATCCAATGTTCAGGGTCCTTTATTGTAGGTATCGTCATCGCAATAACAAAATTAGTTGAGTGACCTGTGGTAGATAAAACTCCTTTTCGTTCACTAGTTTTATAAAGAGGGCAAATATAAGTGTGTCGTTGAATCAAATCACTACGTTTTATTGGTTTTAACCAGATCTATAAAAATTATCTAAATCATTAGGGCCTTGTTAAGTAGAAATTAATCTTTACATAAGGTATAGTACTAAAGAGAACTTTTGGAAGTGACTCATCTAAACTCATAGATTTCATGTTCCATCTAGCGCCGTCCACGAATAAACCATAAACGTAAACTCCGTCATCGGGAGCTTTACTAAAAGTAGTTGCTTTCAACATTTCGTAATCAAACGATAATAAATCAATAGGTATTTTATATTTTCTTGCATAGTTTTGTTGGGCACCGGTTAAGAAAGCTTGAGTGAAATAAAATCCCGATAACCAAAACGTTACTGGGGCTCCATTCTCAAACCATAACTACAAATAATTCTTTTTTGTAAAAACGAATTTTATTGAGAATAAAAGAAATACTTGTAGAAATGATAATCTTTGAAGGAAATCATTTATATAACTTCCCAGTGGTTTCAATGAAGGGTAAGAAGCACCAGCCCACATTTTTGGAATTCGACCCGTTAACATACTTGTTAAGACTTCTTCTAACGAAGAATTCATTACAATCACACCTATTATAATTAAAATTAATTAATGAAAAATTGATGAGATAATGATTAGAATGGATTAAAACCTTTTATCGCCTTCCTAATGTTCATTAAGCTGCTTCGTATCACACTGAGGAGTTTATTGTATCTTCCCATTTCTTGCACCAAAACAGTGTTCATACTTTGATTGTAAGAGGTGGGATATTTTTCCATTACATCAACAATGTCGAAATTTTTGGGAAGTTTATTGAGAATATCCGCTGCTATATCATTTACTGTATCATCAGAAGATTTTCCTTCACCACCACCGCTAGCAGCATCCTATATCAAAGATAACAAGAGTTTATACAAAAAGATAATTTATTTCCTCAAAGTTAATTAAAATTGTTTTTCTTACCCTTGCCGCTATGAGTTGCTTTTATAAATTGTAAAATTTTCTAATTAAAATAATCGATTGAATTAAAACTAGAACACTAGACCTGGAACTAGACAGTTTCTAGTTCTTAGTCTACTGTTAGCTGACTTAATAAATTAATTTACTTACTACCAATTCCCACACATCCTGGCAAGAGATTGTAAAGAAATATATAATCAATCAAATCAAATTTATTTATTCATACTTACCGTGCGATCCTTATAAGCAACACGATTCAAAATGAAAATATTAAATAGATTACCCCTATAACAATATAGAAATGTAACAAACCTGTGTAACAAGAACAGTCGAAAATAATAAGTTTGTTTCTTGCTGTTCTTTCATTATATCAGCATTTTCGTTCATCCCAAATACTCCGGGAGGAGTAATTATCGGTAGAGATTTCGTGTAATTTATATAAGTCTCGTATTCCGTTGAAGCCGGGCAATAATACACACCTAAAAAGCATGTCATCATAAAAACACTCCATGCTAAGAAGATGCTATTAAATCATACCTGTAGGGTCAAATGAATAATGCTCCTTTTCAACTAACCCCTTGCAATAAAATTGATTTAAAATGGTTCGTAAACACCTTCTATCCCAATCATCGGTTACTCGCCCACCATAATTACATTCACCGGTTAAATATCTAATAGCATCATACTGGACGTCATCGTATTCATCTAAAAACATCTGCAGTTGCATGACGCTTATTCGCAAATCGGTTTCGTTGAATTCATATTGAATATTCCATCCCAGCGGTCCAAATTTGCGACGTTCTTGTATCGAAGCGTGGAAAAAGCAAAGGCCGTAAAGTAACTTCTTGAAAATTAAATCTTGTTTGCAAGCATTAAACCATTCCATGTTTGAAATTGGATCGCTTAAATACGATCTCACTATATTCGCTCGTAGACCTTTAGGGGGTTCGTTCGTCATTTTTACGCCGTTTTGAAGTACTAATACCGGAAAGTGTTCAGCTGGGTAAGAAGTTAACCATAATCGGAAATCGGGGTGAGTTGTTTCCATGGTAAAATTTTCACATATTTTTTCTAGCATAGGCATAAAGCTTTTCGCGAGGTGACAATTTTGTAAAACCACCCAAGTTCCGTTCTTAACACCTTCATCAATTAATCTGACGGCAATCGGTCCTTGACCTTGTCCTAATGACAACGAAAATAATCTTGAAGATCCGAATCCTTGATCGTCGGCAAATTTTAATAAAACTGCAGTAGGATCCGCCCCAGGTGTTAAAACAAAAATTAAAGGAACAGTACAATAGGAATCGGCGTAAGATGATGGTAAATCAAATGGGGGAGGCTCAATATATGGTTTTCCCATATGCTCTAAAATAATATTTGTATTAAATACAAATAACAAAAAATAAATAAAATTACTTTCTACGAAATCTTGTACCCCAGGAACCACTTTATCTGGACGTATTACTCTTAATAAAAGCAACTTTTCAAGATCGCTGATTTTAGAGTAATTACCAGGAAGTGTGGCGTGATGTGGTTCTGGTGAATCAAAAACAGCTCTCCAAGCGTTCAAATTTGCGGTAAAATGTTGTCGAATTCCTCTTCATAAAAAATTTAAAATGAAATCATTTATATCTTTTACTGAGCTAAAACTAGAAGTAACGCTAGACCTAGAGTTAGAAACATTCGGGTTTAGCCATGCATCTCAAAACTTTTAAAGTTGACCCATTTTCTGGCAAAACTAAACGTGATTAGACTGTTTCTAATCTTAGTTCTAGTGTTAGTTCTAAGTTTAGTTCAATTAACACCGACCATGAAAGTCTCCGTACTTATACTTACTTTAAAGCTGGAAAATCATCAGCTCGACACAACTCGTCCCATGATTTTTGAACCAACCAATCAGAAGGATTTTGATAGGGGTTATCTAATCCAACACCACCAGTTAGAAAGAACATCCATTCAGCAGTATTTAGTTGTCCTCTACTTTTCATTAAATTTACCGCCAGCAATAACGAAAATAATAATTTATCTTTTTCAAATAAACTTCGACAAATATTGACGTACAAAGAATAAGTAAAATAGGTTTGTAAATCTTTTAATCGTACTTGTACGTCATCGACCCTTTCGGTATTATCTATCGCTCCTTTGAAGAGATTCATATACCAGCCTAAGGAGTATTGATACATGGGGTCGATATTAGCCAAATCTACGATGGTGAAAAATAAAACTGCTGCGTGTACCGCTATGGGTCGATATTCCATTCTAGCTTTATCGATGGATTTTTCAGTTACTTCCGCCACGGCTTGTTTGGCGGCGATTTCGTTCGATAAAACTTTCGATGAGCTTAAAATTTGAATTCCAGTTTCATCTTCTAAAATATTTCCTTCGGATGAACTTAAAACCCACAAAATCTTATCTTCGATTTCTTTCAACATCCTTTTATTTTCTGCACCTTGTAAAATAAGTTGATTTTTTTCAGCTTCTAAATCGGGACGTTCCTTGGCAACAGCTATCCCCAAAAGTTGATCTTCCAACCCAACAGTGGTTATCATAAAATTCACCAATGTTACCTTTACTGCTACTTCCGGTAAATAATGGGGATTTCTTAACTTTGTTGTGATATATAATTTAAAGGCGTTGTTATATTCAACCACTGAATCCCCAAGTTTTAAACACATTGCACCACCTTGTTTAAAAACTTGTTGGGCTAATACAGGTTCTAAAATTGCATCTAATTCTTCGCCAATATTTTCTAATAAAACCTAAAAATGCTATTTTTAATAAAAATAATTGTAATTAAAAAAACGATTTACGGGTTGCCCAAATTGAATCGCATTCTCTAAAACTCTCACATAATCCGACTGATTTAAACGAATCATAGCTAAATTATTTTGTTTTTCCATGTTTTTTACCCATTTATTTGCTTGACCTTGCGGATCGATCATTAATGGATATCTTCTAGCGTTTCTAAATCGCAAAAAAAAATTAAATAACTGTTATACAAAAATTAAAAATAATACGTTATTATAATTCCATTATCAATGCTAAAGTTGTCACTGGGTAAACCAAAAATATTCCATTGTCTTATTACAACCGGTTCGCCAAGAATGGCGGTTAATTGAAAATCGGCGGCGCAAACAATTTTATACGCTGTAAGTGCTTTGACCCATTCGTCGATCTGAACCTGCCTATATTGCAAGGTAAAAGCACCTAAATAAGCGACAACACCAGAACTAAGTAGCACATCTCCTATTAAGTTAAAAAATTTTAATCATAAAAATTAATAAAACAAAATTAATTTACCTGTTAAAATTGAATATTTTTCAGTTAAAGCTTTAGCGGTGGAAGACCATCTTTGTTTTTCACCTCCTAATCCGCCAATAAGTTCTTCGGCTCTTTGCAGTTTTGTAGCGCAAAGTTCAGCTTCTGCATTCAATTGCTGAAATTTTGCATTTTCACTATCTAGAACGGCTTCTAACGCTGCCACCTTTTCCCTTGCCTCTCGTAACAAAGCTCTTTTCGCTTCTAAAGCTACCATAGCTTTATTATAATCAGCTTCAGCCGCTGCTAGAGCCAATTTTTTAGGCGCCACGACTTTAGCTACTTTATCATATTTCGAAATGGCAATAACCCATTTGCACAAACCTTCTGCAGCGGCCGAAGCCGATCTTACTTTGTCCGGATCGAAATTTTCGTCGCATAAAATTTTGTCTGCTAATTTTTTCATTACGGCCACGGGGATATTGTCTTTATCAAAATTGATTAGATTATCAAGGAATTTAATGTCCCCAAGTACTTTCTTTGATGGCCCCCAATAATCCTCAACCGTTCCGATACCACTTGGAGCAGGAACCTTATCCGGCTTAATATCTTTTACGACACAAATAGCTTCCATCACCAATTTTACTCCTTGAGGTGGATTTTTCATTGTTTTTACTATTGTAATATCAGCCGGGGTTAATGTATTTAAAGCTGATAAAGCTGCGTTTAATATCGGCATTGCCTCAGCCAAGTCTGCGTCACATTCATTTTTAATTGCTTGAGCAGCTTCAGCCTATATATTTTTAAAGTAATGTTAGATATAAATTGCGTATTAGGGTTAAAGAGGTGCAAAAAGACAGAAATAACCTATGTTAGTCTCGAAATTCAAAAACAAGTCAGGAATGAATAAAATCAAAACAGCACATAGTAAGGAAAAGTTTGAAATTATAATTGGTCAACTCGAATACATACCATGCGCTAAATAAATTACCTGGACATTTGCTGCAGCTTCATCTTCCATAACCATAGCTTCAACTACCGCTGCATCCGCGGATTCAGCCTCAACATTTTTCATGGTTGCTTGGACTTTAGCTGCTGCTATTACTAATTCGGGTTGTAAAGCTTCTAAACTTGCTTGCATCACAGCAACTTCAGCCCCAGCTCCTAATAATTTTTGTATTCCAACTTCATATCGTTTTTTGCCTGTTAAAACTTCCCTACATCGTAAAAAAGTTATACTAAACATACATTATTTCTGTTTCGTGACACTTACTTTCTTTTTTTGGTTAAAAACGTTTTGAAAGTGTTAATTAGTTCTAAATAAGAAGTGGGGGTTACATAATTTTTTCTACCCAATCTATTAAAGAACTCATCTGATAATCTTTGAGTTGATGTATGGATTATTTGGCACATATCAATGCAAACTGTTCGTTCTTCCGTTGGTAATTCTATTTCGCCCAAAAACCTGGTTGCTACCGCTAATAAAGCGTCTTCAGGCCAAGATTGAAACCAATCTATGGTGCAACAATTTACCATAGCCGGGAATTTTCTAATCCTGTTTCTGAATCCATCACCAATTGGGCTCATCGCAAGCACAAGGTGAAGTTGGTCCCTAACAATTTGTACAAATAAATTAAATAACGCCACAGGACTTCCATCGGTTTGTAAAGATTTATCTCTTTGGCGATCAATCTGACGCATTTTCTCGCATAATTCAACCTTCTCCTCAGCACTGAAAATATTTGGTACTTCACCAGAATTTAATAAATTACTTAGATCCTCCAAAAACGATTCTTCTTTGATCTTTATTAAATCAATTAATAATTCAATCAATCAATTAATTAGTATTTAAAAATAATTACTTGGCTATCAGTAAACAAGAACATTCCGTGTTGATCTGATGAACATGCTTTTTTTAAGATCACTTTCACATCTTCATGCCATTCGTACATCCCATATGTTCTGGTAATTTCTACCTGGAATAATTCGTATTCAGAAATATGAGCTGATAATCTTGAGAGTGATTGTCGTCCGGATCCTCCAACACCAACTAAAAGAGCGTGACATCGCGGTTGTTTTACTATTCTGCAGATTTTCGATAAATGCTCCACAGCAAAACTAAAAATAAAATTAAATGAATTAACTAGGGCTCAAGAAAAATTAGAATATTATTATTACCGAAACAGTACAAGATTCATTGGTTTCTTTGACATGTTGTTAAATTCTCTCAAATAACCCTCCACTATCGCTGTTAATTGGTCCAAGTTGGTGACTTCCATGTAATGTCTCGAATCGGCTTTAACATTCGCAAAATCACAATATAATAAATTTCTAAGTTCTGTTTCTCCAATCTAATATTGAAACAATATGTTTACGTTAATTTGGTCAAATGAATTCTAGAATGACAAATTCTTACAGTTTTACGTCCAGGTGTGGCAATTCGTTGAAACATAGCATTAAAATTTTCTTCAAATTCTCTCTCAACAACTTCTCTTAATGTCTCAACCAGCCAATTTCTATCTTCATCATCCACCAATCGATCACTGTAAACCCTTAAAACCTCATGTACCCATAATCTCTTCATAGCCACCACATTCTCTAGGGTTTCTGGTATCGATAATAACACTCCTTGTATAACCCTAGAGAAATCTCTTAAATTGAATAGATAATGGGATTTTGCTGGTGTGGGTAACAAATTGGCTCGGCTTAATTTGTAAACGTCAAGAGTGGCCAACACAATCATATCGATACAAACTTCAAAATCATCTGAAAATCCCCTACTAGTCAAATGCCATGACATGATTTTCGAAAAAATATGTTTCATAACGTGGTCTTGAAATTCGTCTATACACAAATGGTTAAAATGGCGAGCAAATCTTGGAGTGACATCATTTCTTCCAGCTCCTGGTGGACCCATCGCACACATAAATTGAATATCGATTAATTTCATGGGAACTATTTCTTTTAAATTATACCACATCTGGTGATCGAACCACTGACGTAATAATTCGATGGGTGGCTGTGCCCCGTACGTTTCTTTTAAAGGCATGCTTACATCATCGACAAATATTACGCTTCTTTTACCAACTGGTGGGCCGAAGATTCCTTTTCGCCTTTTATCTAGTTTACTCATAATAATATCTTGGGTTTGATTGGCAGAAGTTTGTGCTGAGAAATTGATAAATAACGGCTTATAAATGAAGGTATTATTCTTTTTAAGAAGAAAATCAATCACATATACAGATTTTCCCGTACCAGTCGGCCCAACAATCATAACAGCCTTTTGATGTTGCACTAATAATTGCATTACGGCTATATTTCTTATAGTTTCTATAGTTGGGACAATTATTTGATTAACAGGGAGATCTTTCGGAATTGGTGGTGCGAGTGCTAATTCATCAGCCCATAGCTTCCATTTTCCTTTACCTTCTTTGATATACCTGTAATCAAAAACTGTTTCCCCGATGGGTAATGTAAAAATGTATGGTTTCTCCGGTTTAGGAATTGTAAGAGGAATCCCTAAGGTTTCAATAACCTTCGCAGGAAATTCTCTTTCAAGTAACCCCCTAAACAATATATTAAATTTGGGTCTGCTATCAATGTCTAAAGTTGCACCCAAGGACCAAATGCAAGAAAAAAAGAAAGAACCCTCCAATTGAGCCCGTACATCCAACTCGGATGTGTTTTCGATAAATTGATCATCGTAAAAATCATCAAGAAAACAATCATACAAATTCATCGCAGATCGCATTAGATTCGAATTTGAAGTCGGGGCAATTTCTTTAACTCCCCCTCTTCTCAACAGCCATAGAAGAGGGGTACAGAATCTTATAAATAAAGTCTTTATCATAGCTCTCTGAAACTCGGTGATACTCTCTGGTAAAGTATTGATCCAAGATATTAATAAAGGCTCCCATCCCAAAGTAGCTGGTTCCATATAAATCATTCCACATCTTGAAACGGTTGCTGGTGAGGCCACCTCCAAATCCATTGGCTCAAATATTAAATTAGTCGTTGGGGCCAATTGAATAATTTCACCTGACATCAAACACAACTTTTTATTATCATCCAGTACAGTATTCATATTCTCTATCCATACTGCATCAACGGGCCCATCAAATAACAACCACTTTCTATCTTCCGTTGTGGACATCGCAAAATCACGATAACTTACAGCGAGAACACCGTCGGACCACTCATGAGAAACGGGATCGAATTGACCATAAAGTTGACCCATTGTTATTGATTTTGGGTTAATAATTGTATAGATTGCTCGATGTTCATTCATACCACCCTAAAAAATAATCATTTCACAAAAAATAAAATATATAAATCAAGTTGATTTTCAATGAAAAAGTAACTGGTTTTTATTAATTAAGTGATATAGCCTTTTGAGATACTGACGGTAGAATTCAAAAGTACTGCAGGGATAAGGTATAACAGTAGCACCTCTGCGTCGGCTTAATACACTAAAATACTCAATGTATTAAACCGCTTGCGGCCGAGGCTGTCCGTTGTTTGATATCAATTTGGTGTTGATATGGTGTAGCTGTTTATCACTGAAAATCAAACTAAATATACAAATATTGCAAATATTACCCATTCTTCAACTAAACCCAATGCATCCGCTAACACCCTATAAGAAGATGTTTTGCCACCAAATGGATAACCAACTATCATCAAACCATGTCTCACGATAATCATTTCATATAATTGATGGATTTTTTCGACGAAGAAAGGAGTATTTTGGTAATTATTAGTTTTGCAAGTCGCTGCTACAGCTAAATCTAAAGTAACATAATCAGGTTCTGGTAGACGAACGCCAGGGAATAAATCCGAAGTTATCCCCTAAAAAATAAACATCATTAATATTTCTTCTAATAATTAGAATTTAAAATAAATACTATAAAAAGTGGTACATCGTGATCTAAAAATTTAGCTAAATTCACATCAGTAATGGATCGTAGAATCAAAATTCCTTCCTTTTCTTTTGGGTATCTCAATTTTAACGCCCCAGCAGCTCTTAACACCGATTTAACTGCTCTCATTCCGTAATCATAATGACATTGCGAGGAAAGTTGTTCTGAGCACAATCTATAAGTTGCAACGATCTTAACCGCCATTGGTTTAGCTTCAAGGAATCCGCATGCGTATAATTCAATTTCTGATATTAAAGCGTAATCAGGAACCATCATAGCTACAGATCTGAATAACGCCTAAAATTTAAAATAATTAAAATACATTCACATTTTGATTTAATCTCACTTTAAGATTATCTGGTAATTCTGATCGTCCTGCATATCCGGGATTCATTGTGATGAAGACGGCGCAAGTGGGGTCTAAACTAATATCTGTACCTTCAAATAACAATCTTTGAGCACCAGCATTAATCGCTCTTTGAATCGTTAGAATTTGTTGGGCCACCACTGATAAAACTTCCAAATCAATCCTGTTAAATTCATCAAAACATGACCAAGCTCCACAAGAAGCTAAACCCTTGAAGAATTTTCCTAAAGCAAGATAATCTAAACCATCCGAACAATTAAAGACAACGCATTGTTTGGCAACTGCTTTAGCTAAATCTTTGGTTGTTTCTGTCTTTCCAGTTCCAGCGGGACCTTCGGGGGCACCCCCCAAATGAAGATGTAAAGCACCAAATAACGTTCGATAACAACGATCGGTTAATGGAGTAACAACTAATCTTGCCACATTTCCTAAGTATTCATATCCATACGGTAAAGTTGAATTAATCATTTTGGTGAGGAGTTGTTTATCTTCCCAGTAATACCTTAATTGACACAACCAGTTAAAATCGCTAACACTCACCACTTTAAGGCCTATAATTTCTGTTAGCACATCCCTAGCGTGAACATCAAGCACGACCAATGCTCCTAATGTAATACGATTTTGTAGTTGGAGCTTTCCTCTAACCAAATCGACTATTTTCATAATTTGCATGTTACAATGTTTCAGATAATTGGACATCTCTTCTAATGATACAAGTATTGCTTCGTGGACTTCTATAGTCCAATAATTCATAGCTATCGATTGAACTACTTGACCAGGCCAAAGTAACACCCACACGTCTCTTGATTTAGACGGATAATCTTCTATAGCACCAGCTACGGCGTGGTAAACAGATTTTTTCATATCTTTTTCAAGTTCTAAAAGCCATTTTTCAACTTGTCCTTTTGCCGCGCTAGTCTGGATCACGTCAACTAACGGGACGTATTCACCTTCACTAGATCTCATATGAGTAACATCTAATTCTTCTGTAAATGTTAACCTGGCCATGCCTTCGAAGCATTTCTTCAAGTGAGGTTGCACTCTTGTTGGATCTTTCGTTTCAGATAAAATCTCTAACAATTCGTCGTTGGAGAGGAAAAAGAATCTTGGGAAGTACAGTCTCTTCTTTTCTAAGTAATCGTTTAAGCCTTTTTGGATCATCTCCAGCAAAGTGTTGCTCTTCTTCAAACGCTCGAGGACTTTATCAATTAAGGTTACCGATAATACTAGTGGATTTTCATGGACCTCATCCATTATATCTCTCCAAGTCTTATCGACCGCTGTAAATCTTCGTCCTTCTTCTGGCATTTGTTGTTGTATATCAGGCGATGAAAAAATCGGTTCTAAATACATCCAAGTGGATTGGACTTTTAGCCACTCCTCTATAATGCATTCTAATAATTGTAACTTCGCTTCCCATTCTCTAAAATATTCGAAAACTGATTTATAAGGATAAAGAAAGAAATCGGCTTACAATGTTTCTTGTTCAAATGGTTTAATATAAGGGGAATTTTTCATTGTTTGTGTTTTGATGACTTGGTCATCCAATTGAACTTGGATCTCATCGACAGATGATATAATATATGTTCCTGTGTCCCTAAAATAATAATAAGTTATAATAATGACTACAATACAATTAAGTATTTGAAAAGAAATACTTATAAACAAGAACGCTGAATTCGACGCCAACCCAATCGGCTTTCATTTTCGCCAAACTCTTCTCTAAATTATTTTCTTTCGTAGCTGCTTCAGAGATACCTTCAAACTTATCGATGTAATCATCTAACCCAAAGTCGATTACTTTAGCAAGGGTTAAGTCGTCATCTAAGACGATGGGAAATCCGACGATTTCTGATATTTTCTCCCAATGTCGCTCTTTCATCCCAGGATTTCCGAGCGTTTGAATTATTGGCATATGATCTTTGAATGCTTCTATTCTTTCACAAACCTTAAAACACTTTTTATTAATTGATTAAATTAATAAATAAGTTGAACATACCGTGTGGGCCAAACGTTCAGTGTCGGGTCTGTCATTAAACACTTTCTCCAATTTATAAATCGTTCGATAAAGGGTTTGAGTGTCAGTTTCAATATCGTCGGGTACAAAACTTCCAACCTTAGAATTCATCCACATGTCATATTTGGTTAAAAAATCAGTTGCGTTATCATATAATTTTTTGTATGGTACTAATTTCTCGTAAATGTGTTTTCTTTGGGGGTATTGCGTTGTTTCAAAATTAAAGCAAGTCTCTTCTTCGTTGAATTTATCTATTTTTTCCATTGCAGCTACTAATCTATAATTTAGTAATTAGTAAATAATTCATTTATTTTATGGACGACCAACCTGTTATCTAACTGAGTGGCTCTTTTAAAATATCTCGGTAACTGCTCAATATCTCCGTTATATTGCAAATCATTAACCATTCTTTCGTATATATTCAGATCATTCTTGAATTTTTCAATACGAATAGCAAGCAGTTCTTCAAACTCCAATATTTTTTGGTCAACCATTTCTTGGTGTTCATCTACCATTCTCGACATATGAAGATACCACCAAAAAGTTAAATTATTCTGTTTCATTTCAACTGGGGTAAAAGCGGAATGATCAGATACAAAAACCATGTATTTCAAGACTACTCTCAAGCGATCTTCCATTTGAGACAATGTAACCGCTCGCACTCCTTTTACAAATGCTATTACGTCCATGAGTTCTTCGGTGGTTTTTGGTACTGTTAAAGCTCTGTCTGAAATAGCTTCATACTCTTCTCCCAATCTAAATTAGAGAAACAAATAATCACTTTTTTAACATTATAAGTTAATATAGATTTTACACTCTGCATAATGTTTGATAATCCTTAATAACTCTTTGTATTAACATATCCTTAAAATTTTCGGCTGATAGAACCAAAATGTCAATAAAATCATCGCGTATCATATTGTACATCCCAATAGTAATAACATGCTCAACACTAAGTGGAATATTTTGTTGGGTTTCCTCATAAAAAATAATTAGTTTACAATATTCTTCGAATGAATGATCTTCTGAGAGGAATTGATTAACTAAATCGTTTGCTTCGCCATTTACAAGATGCATATATTCGTCGAAATCTTGAACACGAAGTTCCGGACCTATTCTTTGATCTTCGAGTAAATCTTTAATTTTTTGGCGATAATTTTCGACGATCTCTTCAGGAATTACTGGCTGTTAAATTAGAAAAAAATAGATTTAACAAAAATATGATTGCACTGAATTGGATTATGATATATGCGATCCTAGAATCATTTGGGAATGTGGAAGATGTATCCTGTAGGAGTATCATGGTATAATTTAATCATATTAGTTACCTGTAATGTGTAAGTTTTAAGCTGATGGTCCAAATATATTTGACTTTCAATTCTGGGAATTGTTTTAGCAGCTTCAACAATATCATCTAAAGTTTTACAAAGTTTCGTCCTAAAGTTTTTGAACGGAGGGTCAAAAGCGACTAAAGGGCCTTTTTGTGCTAAACTTATTTCAAATCCTTTATTTTCGTACTAAAAATAAAAAAAATAAATAAATATTTCAAATAAAATTTAATATTAGGTACCAAAATTGTCGTGATATAATTTGTGTAATCATACAAAGATTTCAGTACTAAAGTTTGTATGTGATAAGTCATTAGAGATGCAACGCAATTATAAAATCGTTTCATTTTTTTCTGCCGAGAGGGATCGGGTAATTTCCCTTTCTTCTTTCCGACCAAAAAAATATCGATCACATTCTTAAGGTAACAGTCTTTCAAAACGTGTTTACAATCATCAATTTGTCTTGCAATTAAGAAGGTAAAATCAATTAAATCGTAAGCTCCTTCATTTTCTTTTAGTTCTGCGGTGTTGATGAATCGTAAATGTCGATAATTAACGTACCAAAGATCCACTAACGAGTGTATGCAAGGATTCGTTATATGCAGAATCATTTCTAACCTAGGTCGCACAACGTCGTAATTCGCTTTCCACGTTACGGCCATTTCAGTTAATTCACGCCTTTCGGCCGAGTCAAATTCCGCTGTTAACGATTCAACAAATGCGGGATCTTTTAATACATAATCGACGATCGCTTTTTTAACAGCCAGCATAAAACTTTCCTTCATATCATCAATTGCAACCGATAGAGTTTCACTATACACTTTTAATTTTTTTGGTACCAATAATAAAATCTAAAATAAAAAAATTTTAGATTTGACAAGTTAATTTAAATTAAATTTTACTTCATCTAGAATTTTTTGATCCATTGGGGCTACATGAATCGTATCAATACCATATCTTATATAATAATAATATCTTAAAAGTTCTTTTTCATCAGCATTTGGTATTGCATCTGGATCTCTATCTTCATCTTCTTTTTTACAAATTAAATTTACCAAACGTTTACGAAATTCTTCTCTTCGTTGTCGAAGTTGAGTATAAGATTGTAACATTACTCTTTGTTCAGCAGCTAATAAATTATTATAGAAAATTAATTAAAATTTTGACTTTATGACATTTTGACTAATTTTAACTAACATTTACAACAACCTACAACTTAACAGTTAGTGTTTGCTTAAGTAATTTTTTTCTCAGAAATCATTAAATTTTCGAAGAATATCAGAGAGACAAAAAAGTTTTAGAATAGTTTCATCTACCTATTTAAAATTTTTCTAATGTATTTATCATCTGCATAAAACAAATTTTAGCAAAAATGTAAAGAGAGTGGCTATGTTTAGTAGTTTAGAAAGGTAGGTTGTAAGTATAAACGGTTAAAACGTGCCCTATTATGAGCTAAACTTATTCCCCAAATTTCATTTTCCTAGCGTTTATAGTTTTTGAGAAAAAAAAATTAAACCAAAATTTTCCGCCATTTTTGAAGGAAATGCTTGAAGTTTGTTGCAGTTATTCAGATACACCTGTAGAAACATGATTAAAAAATAATTTTAATACTTACCTTTCCTTTGAGCTTCAGCTACCTTTTTTCTATACTCTGGATAAGCAGAAGCCAAAGCGGGCTTAACAATTTCTGGTGGAAGTTTAAAAAATGGAGTGGCGTGTACATTATAATCAGATGGTAAGCAATATTTTAGTTTTTTAATCTTAATATCACCACGGCTTTCCAATGCAGCTCTTTTTTCAGCAATTTTCTTCAATAATTTCTCTCGCTCCAACTTTTTTTGGGACATTTTGATAATAATCAAAATCCTCAAAAAAACTTTTGACAGTCACTGATAGCGGTTACGTCATATTTCATCAACCGGTTTTTGAGGTTAGGAAATTTGTTTTCTTTGTTAAAACCTCAAATTTAATACTAATACAAATGGTGAGTACTATTATTTTTATTACCTTACTTGGTAGTTTAAAATTCTGCGATGGGGATTATTAAAAATTCACGATATTATCGTTTCTCCTCAAAAAACTGTTACCTATTCGCAGGGAATAAATATTTATTTAGTCCCCATGGCAACGGTTTAGAATGAATATAAACTCTTCATCGATTTTGGTAAAAACCAAATTTTTATTGATTTTTTTAATATATTATTTATTATTATATAGATACTCGTTCAAGCATGCAGGAATATAATCCGTACTTTACATACAAACGAAGTCCGGTGGGCTGCAGAAAAATCTCTACTTGCTACACTTCGAAAGAAGACCGGATATACTTTTAGTAATTGTAAAAAAGCTTTAGAAATGCATAATAATGATATTAATAAGGTAATTTTGTCATTTATAATTTAATTTATCTTACTTTAATTTATCTTTTTTGAATTTAGGCTGAATCTTGGTTAAAAGAACAAGCTCAACAATTGGGTTGGGCTAAAGCAACGAAATTAGAAGGTAGACAAACTGCGCAAGGATTAATAGGTGTTTCTGTTAATAAAAATAATGGAGTTCTTGTTGAATTAAATTGTGAAACAGATTTCGTAGCAAGAAATGATGTTTTTCAAAAAATGGCCAACACAACCGCTGCTGCTGTTATGAATTTTATGGAAAAACAACCTATAAATAAACCAATCTCTAAAGTAACACTTTAAAATTAAACCACACCATTTTTTATTAATTTTTAATAATAATTTGTAGATGTTATTAACAACAGATGATTTAAAATCCCTCCAAGTATCGGATGGTAAACCCCTTTCTGATCATATAGCTTTAATGATTGGTACAATAGGAGAAAACGCCTCATTATCAAGAGCTTTTTGTATAAAAGTATCAGATGGATTACATTTATTCGGTTATGCTCATCCTTCAGGAAAACAAATCGAATCGACTTTATTAGGAAAACTTGGTGGACTTGTTGTTTTAAAACAAACCGGAAATTCCCTCAACTCTGATTTAGAACAAGTTGGGAAAACAATTTGTCAACATATTGTAGGAATGAACCCCCAAAAAGTTGGTACAGTTGATGATAAACCTTCTTCAAATTCTGATGATGAAACATGTCTTATACATCAAGAATATCTATTAGATGATAGCTTAACAATTAAAGAAGTTCTTGATGAAAATGGGGTTGAAGTGATTGATTTTAAACGTTTTGAATGTGGTGAAAAGGATAATAAAATAATGGAGCAGCCTTTGGAAGCCATCGAAACATGTCAATGAGTACTGTTTTAAGGTTTGTAATTTTTTTGTAAATGATATAATCAAAATAGAGTAACTTTATTTGGTATTACTTTATATATTTAATCCTTGTTAAACTAATCATATTTTTAACATCTTGATAGTTTCAGGACATTCTAAGCATATGAAATTCTATTATAATTTCATAAATGTGAAAAATTGCTTTGTTACAAAGTTGAGTGATCAATGCCTTTCTCTTAATGTCTGAATTATTTGCAGTGAAATATGTGTATTTATTTGGTTACACATTTATATATTGTACCAAATGATGGATAAGCCTCTATAATTTTTGTTATCCAAATAGTTCATTTTGTTAATCTGAAGATCAGCGCTCTGGTACTATCTATAATATTAAAAAAAAATTTTACTTAAGTGATCAATCGAGTTATCTGTCACCTAAAGTACTTACAGATATAATACGTGCAATTAAATTTATTGACAGATGTTGGGGAAAGCTTATTTTAGATTGATTTTTTAGACATTTATTTGGTGGAGTTATATTTTATGCTTAAGCGTCCGCCTTTCACAATAGAAACGAACATTGGGCAAAAGATGGCGTTAGTTAGAAGTTGTTAAACAAAATTTATTATCCAAATTTTATTTACTTTTTGTATTAAATCCATATAACTTAATCCATGTCACATCATAACCTCAGATAGTTGAACTAGAAACATTAATATATATAAAATTAACAACAACTTGGCGCTATCTAGTGCTAACTAGCGCTACCTAGCACTCAATAGACCTAAAACTAAAAACATTCGGGTTTAGCCGGTTTGAGAGACGTATGGCTAAACCTGAATGCTTATCATGCTTATGCTTCTTGTATTCTAGATTTAGTGTTGGTTCTAGTTTTACTCCAATAAAAGTATGCAACAACCTAGCGTTGAATAACAAATAGAACTAGAGATAACCTAGATCAGGAACAGGAAAATTTCGAGTTTAAGCGTGCGTCTTCACAGGAAAATAAAACCAGTAAAAATAGAAAATATATATGTATTTATTAATAAACACTAAAATTTAAAAACATAATTTCAGTCGTCGTTAAAAAAAGTTAGGCATACCCTAGTTCTTTTTGATTCTTCCATAAATCCCTCATTTTATTCATATTTTCAAAACCATGACTTGCAATACAATACCGTTTAAAATTTTCATCTTCTTTCCATTCTCTCGAAATATATTCAGTGTGATAAGGAATTATACCAATTTTTCTGCTTAAAATCCCCATATAAACATCATCGAATCTAAAATGTTTGGTATAATAACTCGCATAATACAATTCTTCTAACGTATCTCTTGCAAGAATATAAGCACCGGCGGTCGAATAAAGTGGAAATTCATTAAAAGGATATTCTTTTAACGATAATCTATATTTACTAAAATAATCCCTCATGGGTCTCGTTCGAATACAATTTCCCGAATAAAAATGTTTTAGGTCAAAACTGACGCGGTTCGTTTCAAGGTCTGTGTGGTAATTTGGGTATGTAATGGGGTTATTTATATAATTCAAAGCATTTGGCATTGATACGTAATAGTCGTCATCGACAAACATGTAGAAGTCGGAATTTCCACAATTTTTTAATAACCATTTGAAACTCATCATAGTTTTTATCGTATTATTATAATAAGCGTCGATAAAATCACCCTGAATAATATCATCATATTCATAAGATTCGTTTTGTACTATTTCGTTTAAAGGCGTGTTATCACGTTTACCCACCATGAAAAATCGACGAATTTCAAATCGATTTTCATCACCCCATGTGTCTCGAATAACCTTTCTCCTTTCAAAATGATCTAAACTAGATTTTATTACTAAAACAAGTCGAAGTTGTTTTTCTCCCCGATTTATTAGGCACTTATTATTTGGCGTTATAAGGTAATCGTATTTGTACTCGTTTATAATGTTTCTTGAAGATTTTTGATTCGCTTTTAATTCTTCTATGTATTTTCTTATATCTTCTTCTAGGGGATATGTAAATTTTTCAAAACTTATTTCGCGGATATAATCGAAATAACCACTTAACACGAACGTTATTAAAGCGATTATTAGGATAATATATTTAAAGTTTTTTTGAAATATTTTATACATTTTGCATTTAAATAACAAAATTAACACATATCTCACTAATTTTTATAAAGTTACTAATAGAATTTTAAACATGTGGCGACCATCGTGCGCTCGATCTTATTCGTCGAACGCTTGAATAAGGACTGAAACTCAGCACTAATTTCACAACGCTAACATAACACCTACAACGTACGTTTAGTAGGTTCGTTTATATCTGGAAAATAGTTATATATAACTCTATATAGTTTGTAATCTATTCATATAGTTTATATATCTAGTTTCGATTTTTTGATACAAATAGTGTTGATATCAAATTGTTGAAATAATTAAAATTCGTTAACTTTGATGTTTTCGTCATAAATGGTGGGTTAAATGGGGGGTCATAAGATATGACTCATTTTTAATTGTTTCTCTTGTTGGAGTTTTTAATCAATATTGAATAAATGTAATGTTGTAATGAAAAATTCAAGGCTATTTTCAAAATAATGGTAGATCTAAAATATTTATATCAGATTAAATTATTTACCAGGTAGTTGAGTTGATTACGTGTATTTTTAGCCACGTATATAAATACTTATAATTTGGTATACAGAAAAGATTTAAAATGAGTTGGTTCATTTATTACGTTAATTTACATGGAATTGCTTTTTCACCTTGAAATTATCTTAAAGAAACTGCAAAGATTAATCAGCGTTTAAATTAATATATTTCCTAGAACTTTCACGCATTTTAATGGGCATCGATACACTCAAAATTAAATGAAAATGTAGATTCTGGAAGCTTATAATTTGGTATAACCTAACCTCAAAAGCTTCATTTCTTATTTCGAATCGATTGCGAGAAAATATTTTTTTTTCTTTAACCACATTTAATGAATGTCAAATCTTCGTACTTCGGTGCCACTTTTCTCTTTTCAACGCCACTTTCTCTATTACTTTTCCCCATTGGATTTTTGCTGTACCCCCTCATCTTATTCCTTCTGGTTTCATATTGAATTTTTTTTTGTGTGTTTTTCCCATCCACCGATGGGGAAAACCGAACCAGGTGGTCCATTTGATGCCATTTCAGCTGTTTCTCTTCTATCTCTTCTTGTTTCGTACTTTGTCTCTTCTGGTTTTTCGATTTCTCCTTTTATTATCTTCAGTTCTTGGATTATTTCATGGTTCTAGAGTATGTTATATAATACTTCATCAATTATAATGACATCGAGGTTACTTTTGATAATAATTTTTTATCATTATAGTAACATTAATTGTCACACTTGACAATTTAAATTAAATATTAATAATTCAAATGTTGTTATAAACTACAATTTTTCAAGTGGTAAATGTGGGTAATATTAAAAATTATTGTCGCAAAAATTATTTGTACAAAAAATAATGTCGACAAACGGCGATAAATTATCACCCGTAGAAATACAAGAATTAAACAACATTTCTAACAAATTAAGAGTATCCGCATTGAGATCGACAAATGCCGCGAGAAGTGGTCACCCATCCTCTTGTTCTTCCGTAGCGGAAATTTTAGCAGTGCTTTTTTACAAAGTTATGAAATTCAGATTGAGCCATCCTAAAGATCCTGCGAGCGATCGATTGATTTTGTCAAAAGGACACGCAGCTCCGATTCTTTACGCGGCTTGGGCTGAAGTTGGATTATTTCCGAAAGAAAAATTATTAGACTTGCGCCAAATTTATTCTGATTTAGAAGGGCATCCAACGCCGAGATTAAATTTTATCGACTTTGCAACTGGGTCTCTTGGTCAAGGACTATCAGTCGCCGTTGGAATGGCTTATGTGGGCAAAATAATCGAAAACATGAAATATCGAATTTTTTGTATTATTGGTGATTCTGAAAGTTCCGAAGGTGCGATATGGGAGGCGTGTAATTTCGCCAGTTTTTATAAACTCAATAATTTATGCGTGATTATTGATGTGAATCGTTTAGGACAAACCGGACAAACCCCTTTGGGTCACGACACGAATGCTTACCAAAAAAGATTTCAAGCGTTTGGTTTTAATAGCATCATCGTGGATGGTCATAACGTTGAAGAGCTGATAAATGCTTTCGAAAAGGCAGAAAGTCAACAATTGAAACCAACTTGTATTATAGCCAAAACGTTTAAAGGAAAACATTTTTTAAATTTGGAAAATGTTAGTAATTTTCATGGGAAATTATTGGGCGAAAGATTTGATAAAATAGTTGAACACATAGAATCTTTAATTACTAATAAAGGAAAAACTTTCTTAGAAATACACGAACCTGATTGGATTTATCCAATACCTGAAAATAAGGGCGCTATTCAATTATCTATTCCTCCTTGTTACATCAACACCGATTTTATTTCCACGAGAGAAGCTTTCGGTAACGCTTTAATTAAGCTAGCTCAAACCAGCGAAAGAATAATTTCTTTTGACGCCGATGTCAGAAATTCAACTTATTCAGAAAAACTAAAAGAATATGATGAATCAAGACACATTGATTGTTTTATGGCAGAACAAAACTTAGTTTCGGCAGCAATAGGAGCTTGTTGTCGAACAAATTTAATCCCATTCATCTCATCTTTTAGTTCTTTTCTTACAAGAGCTTTCGATCAACTTCGCATGGGTGCAGTATCATCTACTAACATTAAAATATGTGGTACACACGCTGGAGTTAGTACAGGTGAAGATGGACCAAGCCAAATGGCCATGGAAGATATTGCAATGTTTAGAACGCTTCCCGGTTGTACAATTTTTTATCCCAGCGACGCAGTTGCCACAGAAAGAGCAGTTGAATTTGCCGCTAACATTCAAGGAATGTGTTACGTAAGACTCACGCGACCTAAAAACGAAGTTATTTACTCAAACGATAGACATTTCGCAGTTGGAGAAGCCCAAGTTTTATTAAAACATTCAGACGATCAAGTATTATTAATTTCCGCCGGAATAACCTTAGTCGAAGCTTTTAATGCTGCCAAAGAATTAGAAAAAGACGGAATTCACATTCGTATTATCGATTTATTTACTATCAAACCAATAGACGCAAATTGTATTAAAAAGAACGCCAAAGAGGCTTTAGGGAAAATTATTACGGTTGAGGAACATTATCCTGAAGGTGGAATTGGAGAAGCTGTTTTATCTGCGGTTGCTGATGAACCAAATATTTTATTAAAAAAAATTGCTATTCCTAAAATGGCAAGATCTGGAAGACCGCGTGAACTTTTGGATTATTTTGGAGTATCTACCTGTAATATTGTGTTGATGATTAAGGAGTTTTTAAATATAAAAACTGATCTTGGAGAATCAGAGGAAAATGAAGCATCGAAAATAACTCAAACAACGGAAGCTGGAGATACTAACACTAATACAATCGAAAATTTAAAATAAAATTATAATCTTGAGTTTTATTTTTTATTATATTTATCTTCGAATTAACATAAGACATTAACATTTCCCAAAAACAATATTTGCTCGGAGATCTCCAATTTTTGATCAAAATCTTGTAGTAATAAGTACTTGCCAATTGACGAACCTCCTCCTAGAACCCCAAGGTCAAGACACCGTCTAACCTTAACCTTGCGGTTTCATGAGAAGGCTCGTCAATTGTCAAATACAAATGAAAGTCAATTTACAGCAGTTCCAGCAGTATTGATCGACAACAGTTCTTCGAAACGCATCTATCTTTGTAAATAAAAATTTCGTTGTTGAAGTCATTTGGTTTTCTATATTCTTCTAGAACCCCGAAAGTGCCGCGAAAGTATCCTAAAGGGTCCGAGAAATTTTTTTTTGTAGCTGATTCTAGATGAAGAGTCGTCACCCAACTCGTGTTAGTTACCATGCCTGAGTCTAAAATTGAAGATGAAGGTGATTGATCTTGCGCTAGGCTTAACTTGTTCTGGATATTCATTGCTAGTAAGAACAAACACAATGTAATAAACTAAGATAATGCAACTCCTATATACATATAATAAGGTATTAGTAGAAATTGCCAATTTGAAGAGATCTATGTATTCATGGAGAAACATTCCCTGGGGGGGAGACCAAGTATACCAACTTCAAGAGTAGATGATGGAACGCTAGTCTAACTACTAATTGACCGATGACGATCATGAAATAAAAAACATTTTAAAGCAAATTTGATTAAGAGTTTTTTAAATCCAACTCTTTATATATGGGAAACTATGAAAGGATCCTTTTACCTGGAATTAATAAATATTGATAAAGTGCGGTTCGATTGCGTTCTAAACACTCAGTTCGTAAGAAAATATTTACTTTTTGATAGCACCAGGATATATATCTTAAGAACAGATTTAGTGCATTAACAGCTTAACAATATTTCAAAAAAAAATTTGTTTTTTATATTGGTCTATTTATATTGCTTCTATATTTAATTTGTCATTTGATTGGGAGTTATCTAATCTTTATTTTTAAGTAATATGACATTTTTTAAATCGATCTCGAACAAATTCAATATATTACGTCTAATAAAAGGTAAAATACAGCAATAAGTTAATGCTCTTATCGTTTGATAAGACAGCGATGTCAAACGCTGTTAAATGTTATGCGTGTCAAAAAATATTAAACTAATATATTTTTGTATTCTTGTAAAATTTATTAAATTATTAAATAGGTGTTTAATAAACCTTTCCCATTGAAGTACAATAACAATCATCTTTAAAAAGTGGGTACTCCAACAAACCATCACGGACAGTTACAGATGTATCAGAAGGAAAATTTATGGACAATTTTAAATTTCCCTTTTCCAACAAAAAACTTCTTGGTGATTTGAGACATTCATCTTCAATAATTGTTTTTCGTTCTAAAAATCTTTGATTCGCCTTACAACTTTTACTTCGAATTGAATCAGGTTTAATAGAACTTTCTACACCTTTTTCTTGTAAATCTTTTAGTTTTTCTTGGATTATTGGAACGGAACGTTTTGGAGGAACCGATTGTGAACGTTTTCGTGAAATCGATGGTTTTTTAGGTTCCCAAGGAATTCGCTCCTCAGGAATCTAAAACAAAAAACTATTTAGTACTTTGAAATTATTTTTTTATCTTATAGTTACGCTTGGGGGTGTTGGTGGCTTTGGAGTACAAGCTGAACATTTCGATTTTCTTATATGAGTCGTCTTTTCAAAGGGTTTTTCTTCCATATAAACGATTTTTTTACGTTGGGGAAAATCGTACATTGAAATTCGATTTAAAAAACTAAAAATATTACAATTAATAATTTATTTTCATTAAAGTGAATTGGTTTTTAATTACTTTGGGGGTGGTGTATTCCAATAATTATCAACACGATTCGTTTTCATGATATAAGACAACTTTTTCAACAAAATAAAATTATCCTTTTGGATTTTAGCCGTTCTATCAACTTCTTGTTGACATTTTTTTAATTTTACTGTTATATGAGGCCTGTTTTGTGGAGTTTTGTTATCAATTGCTGGTAAAGCTGATTGGACCTTATTCATTTTATTTTCATATAATAAGCAAATATTAACACACAGATTAAACTTACCTTTCTTCGATGATTATCATATCTCCGTTGTTGCCAAGGTCTTATTAATAACTTTTCTCGCTTTGATAACATGTTCACACAGAAAATATAAAATCAATATATACTGGTAATGTAATACATAATGGAGATATCATTTGTGTTTACATGTTGCTCGGCAACGACTAAATTCAATATTTTCCTTAAAGATGTTAAAAAGAAACTTTTTTATAATAAATAAAAAAAATTTCTATATTACCACAAAAGATTCTTAAATTATTATTTTCAAACTTTGAATACACAATTTAAATTTCTTTCTCACTAGCGCCATCTTTTGTTGACTAGCTACATTTAACTGAATAAAATCATTTGATTGTTGACAGATATTAATAACAATTCTAATAAATGTTAAATACGACTAAAAATAGAATTAGAACTGGAAACATTCTGATTCAGCCGTACACGTCTCTCAAGACGGCAAATTCGAGAAACAAATTTCAAGTTTAATAACTTCTAACTAGCGCCATCTTTTGTCTGACGTTGTTTTTATTGGCAATTGGGAAGATTAAATATCACCAATTTAAATTTGAACTTCCCGCGTTTTTTGACAACAAAATGTGACATCATTTTATTAAATTACTTAATATTTCCTCTTTATTAATTAATTCAACACCAATTAACTTTATTAATTTGTTAAATTTAACTAACTTTGAAAGCATTAAATTAATTTTTCACAATTTTATTCAAAGAAATCAACAAAATTTAACTTTCCCGCTTATTAAACAATTAGCTGTAGATGGCGCTAAAATCATTAATTTTTTTCGGTTCATAACCCAACTAAATGTCAGTTTACAGTCAAATTTGAAAATTTGTTTATCATCAGTAACATATAAAAGAAAACGGATATATTTAACGAAACAAATTAAAATTAAAAAAAAAAAGTTGTATAAAAGCGGTATTGAGGTAATTTTAAAAGTTAAAATGCGCGTGTAACCAAAGGAATCCAACCAAGTTGAAATTAATCATGAGCCAAATTCCGGTGGAAAATTTAGAGTCTTTGGCTCAAGTACCAGCGTTAACGACTAAATTGTGCAATCATTTCGCTAAGAATGATAAAGGTAAGATATTTCATAAAGCATCTGTCCAATAAAAAGAATTTAGTGTGAAAATTAAAACCTAACCTCAAATTTTTTTTACAGATTTAGCAGCTGAATATTTTAGAATAGCTATAACGTTTTTAACGTCTGTGCATCAATTCCCACCGTTTAATTCGCGTGACGAACAATACGTCGTCGCTCAAATTCGAAAATTTTTATTATCTTTAGAACCGAGTAACAACGTTCAAAAATTTGATCTATTATATGCGAAATTTCAAAAGACGGTAAATATACATAATTCTTTTAATTGATTAAAATTAATTTATTATTTTCAGTCAATTTTGCGTAACAAATGTGCCATCTTACTATTTTTCTTACACCTCGCCTCACAATCCCAAAGCGAAACCTTAACCCAATGGAGCATGTTGGAAAAAGTCACATCACAATCGAGTATTAACTCATCTAAATCACAAACCTTTTTGCCTGATGATAATAAGGGAAGTGTAAAGAAATTGTATTCCGCAAATTTAGGAAAGAATTTATCAGCTTCTAGTAGAACACAAGTAATAAATTTAAAGTTTTTGTTGTTAAAATTATTTTTGTGATATTTTTAATCTATTTTAGTTGTCTCAAGCAACAACAGTACCTTCAATAATATGGTCAAATAGCGATCATGATTTACATGCTTTAAAAGATCGATGTTCATCAATAGAATCATCAAGAAGTGGAAGTAAATAAGTTTTATTTAGTAATTTTATAAAAACTCAAATGTTTAGTTGTACTGTGACTACAATTATCACTAGATTTAGAACTAAAAACATTTTAAGATGGTTAAACCCAAAAATTTCTAGGTCTAGTGTTAGTTCAATAAGAATATACAATACTCTAGTACTGAACAACAACTAAAACTAGGGCTAACACTATCACTAAACCTAAAACTAGAAAGTTTTTGGTTTAGCTGTACATCTGACAATGATTTATTAATTAAATAATTTAATTTATAGCTACAATAAGTGTATCAGAAAGTCAATTAATTCAAGAAGTTATCTATTCGTTTCAAGGAATTGAAGGTAAAGTGCTTAGAAAAGAACCTGGTGGTCTTGGATTTACAATTGATGGTAAAGCGTCGAAAGGAATGACTCCTATACAACGTGGATTAATTGAAAGGTTATCATGTGTTGGATTTTTACATAATCAATTAAAACAGCATTGTGATGAAGCTGATAAACAAATTGGTTTAATTGGGCAGTCGTTAATTGCAATTTTAAGGGAGGAATTAACGAGTTATTATCAAATGGTTGCTCTGTTGCAAGCGCAATCGAAAAAACAAGGTTGTTATGATCACTCTGAGTTAAGTTTGAGAAGAATGTCTGTTTGGGTGGCGGAGCCTCAAATGCATTTGCAATGGTTGGCTTATATTGCTGAACAATGTAGTGATAAAAAAGGGGGTGCCCTGGTTAGCATGGTTCATGGATTTTTACAACATGGGGCTCAATGCGTTCAAAAAGTAATAATAAATAAATATCTAAAAAGCAATTTTTTTTATGCAATTCTTTTTTAAGGTATCCGAAAAGGTATTATCGGCTGTGTGCAGACCGTTATATTTAATGTTATCTAAATGGTTATTAGATGGAGAAATAAATGATCCTTGTGGTGAATTTTTTATAGAAGCTCGAAATGTTAGTAATGCTGAACGACTTTGGTATGATAAATATTACGTTCGGTTCGTTTGTTTTTACAATCATAAATTTTTTGGAAATTAAGGATGTATTTGTAGGCAATCAATGATTCCGTCCTTTATTACTGTTGATCAGGCCAATAAAATTTTGGCTACAGGTAAAAGTATAAATTTTTTAAGGCAAATTTGTAAAGATTCGGAGGAGTTACCAGGAAGGGATGCTTTACAGAAACTTTTCGCTATAACTTCTGGTAAATAAATTAATCTTATTTTATTATTCATTAATTTTGATTATTTAATACAGCTGAAGCGTTATTTTCACCGGAACAATCGATAGAGCTACACACAGCTTTAGAAAGTGTTTATCGCGAAACATCTTTAAGGGTTTTAAACTTATTGAAAAATAAATTTCGTTTATTGGAACATTTACAAGCTTTAAGGCGTTATTTGTTGTTGGGTCAAGGTGATTTTATTCGACATCTTTTAGAACTTCTTGCGTAAGTTCTTTTTATCTTAATTATAGTGTCCCATAAAAAGTCAACAACATTCTCGTCATTTTACTAATTGCTTAACTCCTTAACTGATATGAACGTACGCGATACTTTCATACTAAAGTGGTCCTACAGTGATTTAAACGAACGCGATAAGTTCATATTAAAATAGTCCTATAGTGATTTGAACTTATGGATGTTATTTTTCGCGGATATATGAGACCCTCTTTTTTTATACAGGGTGGGTCAAATGTCTGGAATATAGCCAATAACTTCGCCATTTGTGGTTTTAAAGAAAAATGTTTCAAATGCAAGTTTCTTTATTAATCGTGGCGCATTTTTTGGCGATATTTGCTTGTTTGTATTGTTTTTTGTTTCGTTGCTATAGCAACCAACATAGTTATTTTAAATGGGATGCATATGTTTTTTTGCATTCTTTAATAGAGGATAAATCCCTCTAGGCAATGAACATATCAAATTATATGGTTGTATAAGAAAACAATCGAGAAAAAATGCGTTTTCTGAAAATATTAAATCAGCGAATTACAATCAAAGTAGGTGTCGAAATAACGACGTTGACCGCGTTATGGTCCGTTAAATGTCAAAAATATGACAGTTTCAACAATTATAAAAAATTAATGTGACACATCATTTAACGTAGTTTTGTTATTGGCTTTTAAGAAGGGTTTTAACACTTCCTGTGTTAAAGAATTTCTTTTTTTAATTTTGGTTACTGTGGATTGTTTAATTTGTGAATCCGAGTAAATATTATTGAACAGTGACAAACTTCACTTTGAGTCAAAAACATTAGAAATATTTTTCTTTAAAACCACAAATGGCGAAGTTATTGGCTATATGCCAGACATTTGACACACCTGTATGTATATTTGTTTATTTTTATGGCTTAGTGTTTTTTGGACCCTTCTTCGAACCCTTTTCCTCCGTTATTAAGACACCTCTCGATTCCGTCTTGACAAAAAAAAGCAGCTGACCTTTCGCGCAGTTCGGTCGCGCCTTTTTTCCTTTCTGTTTAGTTTTGAACGCGTTTGTGTTTAGTTTCAATTCGTTTTTTGTTATATGGAAGGTACGTATTTTTACTGTTTTATTGTTGTATCTAAAATTATTTAGATAATGAGTTCTACTAATCAATGTTTTCTATTTAGATACCATGTTTTCGGATAGCGATACTGATAGTGATACAGCGAGATTTCGACAAGCGACGAAGAGAGTATTTTTTTGAGGATACTGAGAATTCTAACGAAGAAATTGATTTTGATTGCACTCGTGTATTCTGCGAGATCGATCCTGACAATCCAACATCAGCTCCACCACGTTTCCCGTTACAGGTACACCAAGAGTAGAAACTTCTGATGGCGGTGTCATCGGATATTTCCGTTTATTTTTTACGGACCACCTCTTGCAAAGTGTCACACAAGAAACCAACAGATATGCAGAACATATAGCTAATTCAATTGCAAAAACCAACTAACTTACGTTTGAAGGGTTTGACAGCAACATCCGCCAGTGAAATTTTAGTTTTTTTTTGCCATTATAATAATTTGGACAAAGCGGCAGAGTATAGGAACCCCATTGTTCGGTAATGTGCTGTTCTATTCAAGATTTACGCTCTTGAGAAAGTTTATTCATTTTGAAGAAATGGCATCCATAGAAGAATATCCCAATCTAAAATCGAAAAAAATTTGGCCTATTTACCATTACCTGAAAGAGATAATTTCATAAACGAAAGATTACTGTTTTGTAAGGGGCGATTAAACTGAAAGCGATATATTCCGTTCAACTGCGCTAGTTTTGGAATAAAAAGTTTCTTACTTTGTGAATCGAGCTCTGTATGTATATTATATGGAAAATTATTATATACACAGTGAAAGATACTTTATTGCTAATCGAATATAACAATTTACCTAAAAGTACAGAAATTGGTATGACTCTTATAAAAGATCTGCTAGGAAAAGGATTGTCTAACTGCTCATAATTTTTATACGTCTCCTCAACTAGCAGATTTATTGATAACACACAAAACAGATACATATGGAACATTGAGGTTGGGGCGTAAGGACGTTCCTGCAAATTTGAAGTCAACTAAATTAGCCAAAGGAGGCATTATTGGCTACCAACGAGGAAAGGTGTTTACATTTAAGACAAAAAAGATGTGGGACTACTATCTACAATTCATAATCTGCAAATGGAGGATAAATCCAAAGCAAATAAAACGGCGAAAAAACTTAAGGCCATCTTAGACTATAATCATATAATGGGAAGTGTTGATGAACACCTCACAGATTACTCAATTTCAAGAAAGAGAGGGAAAAAGTTTTACATGAAGATCTTCTTTCATTTATTGGATCAAACTATTTGGAACTGTCATGTGCTTTATAGAAAAAATGGAGGCAGCAAATTACATACACAGTTTCGGTTGGATCTGGCAGAGGCACTAATTGACCAAAATAAAGATCAGCGAGAGGACGGCCAGGAATAATTTTGTGCCCCCAACGAAAAATAAACAAAATGCAAGGAGAAGATGTGTTGTTTGCTGTTTTAAAAAGGATGAACGAGGGAAGAAAGTGAGGAGAGAAACAAGATATTGTTTTAAGGAATGTGATGTTGGACTTTGTGTAATTCCATGTTTCAAAATATATCATACTCAGAAATAGTTTTAATAAATTCCGTTTACGCATGTTATTTTTCTTTATCTTGAAAAAATAATTATATTTGTTATTTTCAACAAAAATCTGACCAAAATAATCAAATAAATTAAGACAATTTTATGAGCATACTTTCCAAAATGTATCAATCAGTTAAGGGGTTAAATCATGTTTCTGGGGCATTTGTTGTAGGTAAAAAAGAGTGTTGTTGATTTTTTGGCGATCACTGTATAACTGTAAACTAAATTTATTTGTTTAGTCCTGAATTAAATAAACCAGCTCAAGAACTTTACGGCCACACTTTATCTGGAATTCTTGAATCAGCCATACGAGTAACGAATGCTCAATTTGAAGATGAAGACACCCTTCAAAGATTAAACGTGGGTTTAATGGATCCGTCACATGGAGATTTGGGTTGGGATACATTTACTTTAGTTTACATAGTTGATGGTCCCGTTGGGACTATTTTTGAGCACACCATGCCAATTTATAAATGTCTTTTTGGCGGTTTGTGGAAAACGAAACGAATGGAGTACGTCTTATCGAATATGAGAAAACAACAAATTTCTTGTGCGAAATTGTTTAGGAGATTGGATGGTAATATTTGTTTTTTAATTAATTAATTTTTAACATTTATTTTTTTAGTTTTAAAACCCGTGTCTCATTTAATACATGTATTAGCAAGTAAAATGATTAATTTATTGCACCAAATGCAGTATTACTTTTTATTCGAAGTACTCGAATGTTCTTGGGCTGAAATGTTAAAACAAGTAAATCAAGCTGAAAGTTTGGATCACGTAATAAAAGCTCACGGACATTTTTTGGAATCCGTACAAAATGGTGTTTTATTAGATACAACACATACAGTAAGTTCTAATATTTTAATTTATGAAATTTTTAATTTTATTCAATAAATTTAAGGAAATCAGAACTCAACTTGGTATAATATTCACTTTAATCCTCAACTTAGAAACGTTACAAGACGCTTTGTATACCTCGGCGGAATCAGAATTGGAAAGCATTTTGGCTTATGAAAGAAAATGTGCATCACATCGTAATTTCGGAACTAACCTTCAATATGAATACGAAAGTAAAGAAAGAACCCTCAAATTTAAACATTTCGTTTCTTCTGTGAAATGTCAAGTGAAACAACTCAGCACGAAATACACCGAGTTTATTACGCGTTTCTTAACTTCTCTTTCAACCAGCCCGGATATGAATCTCCAATTATTGAGCGTTCGTCTCAATTTCAATGATTTTAACCAGATTACATGACAGAACGGCTATGAAAATCTTTTCAATGAAGATGGGAAAGAAGATATTGTAAAGCCATCATCGTCTTCGTTTCTTCTTAGTTGTGTACGTGAAGATGAAAGTTCGCGAACTGTTAATATAAGTAATTTAACGGATTTAACGTACAGTTTTGTGGAATGTGTCAGTTTCGATCGATCACAAATTATTAATTCGGGTTCATGCAGTTATGGTAGCGTTGACGAACTGATTCGCACATCGGATAATAGTAATTCGGGTAATAAGCGAAAGCATAAACACATTTGATGTTGTATTGGGTGAGGGGTCTGTTTAATTTTTTTTTTAACCTTTGTTTTTTGCGTCGTTTGTATTTGATCACCTCTCGCCTTAAAGTTACTAAAATTTTAATCGTAGCTAAACGCTTAATTTCACTTTTTTATTATTATTAGTAACAACAGCCATTATATTATTGATTTTTATTTTTACAAAAATATAATTATTTAAGTAACTATTTCATAACTTGTATTTGTTATTCTAAATAAACATTTTGTTTAATTTTGTTATTTAAAATGTTAAGAATACATATCTTAATTACTCCAGGCTAACAAATTATGTATATAAATATTCAAATCAAATTAATATTATAAACCTGGTCCAACATAATCTGTAATGGCACCTTTTTGTCGATAAACTCAGTAATTTGAAAGATGTTAACACCCAAAGATGGTAAATTTACTTAGTTCGTTTATTGTCCAAAAAATCATGTCACTACGTCACAGCACGTGCCAATTAGCTCAGCAGCGGTTGTTGCTTTAGAAATGTTATTGCAGATATTGATCTTGGCTTTTTATGGTATTAACTCCTCTGGTGCAAGCAATCATTGGAGATACACTGCCGCTTGCGGCCGAGGCGCTTCGTTGTTGGGTACAAATCTTGTGCTGATATGGTATTAACTCGGTTGCCTGCGACCTGGTTGGATTGGGATGGGTTGGGTTGAGTTGGTCATGTTCGCCTGTGACTGTTTCTATATTGCTATTCGGTATACAAGGCTTGGCTCGCATTATAACGATCGTTCTGTTTTTGTGTTTTTTGGGACGACTACAACATTTTAGTATCATTGTTAAACCGAATATTAAAAGAAAAATGAATAATATAATCCACTCGGACTCATATGATTTTGCCATTATAACGGACGATACTGTTCAATGTTAAGTCCTCCGTCCGTATTTCTTTTTTAATTTTATAAAGTTCTCTTCATAAAAGACGAATAGAAAGAGAAAGTGCCTGTTTGAAGTAAGAAAAACCGTCTGGTTACGTTGGTTGGTGAAGTATCAGTTGTTATAATAAGCAAAACACAATTTCAAAATAATCTAAAAAAGCACAAAACTTTAATAATTAATAACAAAATTACACAAATTATACCTTTAAGAATTTCACACCTGCAATTCAAATTAAATACTGATAGTTATTTGCAACTAAACAATGCAAGAACTTTAGTGGGGAATATCCAAAGTTGGAATAATTAAATCGTTTGACTTCTTAGCACGTCTTCAAAGCTGTAAAATCTAAGTGCGTTTTTATGTTCTAAATCGAAACAGTTATGTCTATGAAGCTCGATATATTTTCTCATTTAAAATATAAAAATCGAAATGTATTAAGTCTTTTGGTAGTATTTCTTTATTAAAACAGATTAATTAAAATGTGCCATTTAAAAAATTAAAAAAGAAAAAAATGTGCTTTTGACGTGACTATAGTTAAATTGTTATTTTTCATGTATTGATGTAAATATACAGTTTAAATAAAGAAAATTCGTATTATTCTTGCATTATGTTGTGATTAAGATAAGTGTAGAAAACCTAGGAGGTTATTTCCAATATAAATATTTTCATCTTTGGAAAATGAAATTTTTATTACATACATTAATAATTTTAAGTCTAATTTTAATATAAATAATCACAATTCATCTCTAACGTTCGATTCATGCCCTGTTCCAACATTTAAACTACTCCAAAATTCATTTCTTTCCTTATTTAATCCTTTCAGCATTTTTAATTCACCATCTGGGCCTATTTCTAAATATTCCATATCATCGGTTGAAATTGGTTTCCATTTGATTCCAAGTTCGTTATCGTCTGGAGTTGGATTTCTACAAAAATGTTTCAAATAAAAGAGTTTTAAACTAATTTATTTAGTTTTTAATACCCAGTTTTCACAAAATTAGTCCAAGTTTCAGCCAAAATCTTTGAAACTTTAGCATCCCCATTAAATAATTCATCAAAATGGAACAAGTATTGTAAATCATCAGCGTGGCAAACTCCGTAATCATTGTATTCATCCCCGAATCTTTGAGACATGCTGTATTTTCCTCTATGATTGAATGAATAATAATAAATGGGGCTTTTTGTGTGTTTTCGGTGTAGTTTTATTGTTTCGTAAGCTGCGTAACCAAACCAACCATCGGTGAACATCTTTTAATAAGAAATTTAATGATTAATGTGAAATTAATTTATTGTAAAAAAAAATTTACGTCTATAACTGATTGTTTTGATGACATATCGATTTCTTTATCACCGAAATAAAACGTTCTTAATTGTTTTGTGATATATCCAGGATTTTGAGAAGTTTTTCTATAAAATAAACCAATTGGTACAACTTTATCGAAGTATTGGTTTAGTTCTTCAACGAGATGTTCATTTGCAAAAATTCCTAAAACACTTAATTATAATATTTAAAGATAATTAATTAGTTATTTACCAGGAACTCTTAAAGATCCTTCATCTGTTGTTAACCCAGTAATCCAAGGCACATCGTAAACCCCTCCTGATTTAATGATATCGATTGGATGTTCGCTTAAAAATGCTTCTTTTATTTTAGGTTCAATAACTGGTTTAAACGGTATCATAGGATCTGTATCCCATTCCTAAAATCAACTTAAATCATAATTTCAAAGGTGTTGATTATTATTAAATTAATTACCATAAACTTTTTATCCAAAGCAATAATTTTATAAGGATCAACTTTACGTAAACAATCTAACATTTCTCGGCTTGAATCTGTCGTACAATTTAATAGTTGAGCTAATTTATTTGCAGTCTCTTTGCCTTCATCTTTAGGTGCTAATGACCATAATGTTAAAGCTGTTCCACTTTGAGCGATTCCTCTTGCAAATAAACCTAAAATTCATTATTTAATTATTTTTTTTATTATCACGTCTAGTGTTATTTATACCTTTACTTGAAGGTGATAACATATGAAAATGTACGCTGGCTCCTCCAGCAGATTCACCAAATAAAGTCACCTTTCTTGGATCACCACCAAATTTATGAATATTTTCTTGGATCCATTTTAACGCTAAAGTTTGGTCTTTTAATCCATTATTTCCTGGGCATTCTTCGTCGAATGTTGATAAAAATCCAAGAGCACCTAAACGATTTAATAAATCTTAAAGATCGATAAACATGAATTTATTTTTTACCTAATCTATAATTTGGAATCACTAAAATTACATTGTAATCTAATAAATACGTTGGGTTATACCATGTAATATTTCCTCCCCCACAGTGATAACCACCTCCGTGGAACCAAACCATAACAGCTAAAGGTTCATTGTCCTCAAAATAAGATAGCTACAATTATTGAAATAAATTAATCAGTTTGATATTAAAAAAAATCGTTTTACTTTTGGTGTGTAGACGTTTAAGTATAAACAATCCTCATCGCCTTCAATTAAATCAGTTCTCGTGTAAATATTTCTTTGTGGGCACACCGCGTGTTCTAAGGAACCATCTATTATTCCGTTCCATTTAGTTTTTGGAATTGGAGCCTGGAAAATATATGATTCATTACTCTTTATAAAATCTAAGAATTAAAAATATCTAAGAATTATTAAAAAAAACCAGAAGCAAACCACACAGTTGCTACTTTATCATAAATAAACCAAATTCTTACAATGTAAGTTTTCCTTATATTACAGAATTAAGTTCAAACTAATCAACTGGAATAATAATCAATTAAATGATTATAATGGTCACCTACAAAACAACTCAAGTGTAACAATTTAAGTTTTTTTTTATTTGCAATGTTGCAATAATAAATTTAGCATAATGTCTTAATTTAAATCCATTAAACGTGTTTTATCAAGTAAAACGAATCAGCACAACATTGAATGATCATTTTGGAGGACAAAGTCACTTTCGCGTAAATCTTATTTTGATGGCGTTCTAATGCAATTTAACCCAAGACGTTGTGTTTGTAGGTTAACTACGCGATTATTTCAACCTAATTACGCATTCCGCGATCGTTATGATAATTACCGTTTTACCAGAAAGGTAAGTATTAAATGCAGCTTAAAATAATAAATTTTTGTTATTGGTTACACATTGTAAACAACTATGCAGTTAAGTTGTTTAGAAATTCTTATAAATGAGGATTGGAATTTTACAATTGCTTCGATTAATGCATAAAATAATCTTTAACAAGCAATAAAAGGAAGCTATATAACGAGTTTTATCCTTATTGATATTTTTTTACTTTATTGCGACTTTCGAAATACGTAATAGATTAAATCGTTATGTAATAGGTATTAATCAGTTGAATTCATTCAGGTTTTTAAGATTGAAAAAGTATTATAGGGTGTTTCAAAATTAACGGGATATTTGTAATTATCAGAAAAACTTCATTAAGCCGAGGTCGGTTGCGGCCGAGAGTCTACAATTAATATAAGGTATAAACCCAAAACTGGTCATCACGTTGCTCCGAATGTTAAATCGTTTGGGAAAGGGCTTATATTTACTAAGATTAATAACCCCCCTAAATAGGAATATTGGGTAAGGTTAGTTTTGTTTCTAAATGTTAATCACCCAGGTAAAAAAAGTTGCGTAAGGTTAGCTTTCTTTTAGAATGCCAAAGATTAGTTTTGTTTTGCAAATTAATGACGCTCACGTAAAGAATCTTGGGTCAGGTTATGAACATTGTGCATTGCCAAATAATTTGGAAAAGGTTAGTTATGTTTAAATAAGGAGTAGGTGATGGATATAATGTTTCCCAAAGAGTGGTACGCGAACCCCTAGGGGTACATGCGGTTTTGAATCAGGAATTAGACTAGGTACTGGATGAGAGAGTAAATAGTTGGGAGTGGATTAAAAAGATGATGAAGACTAAAATGGGATTTAAGTATAAAGTTTTAAATTATTTAGCAGCATATTTTAGAAACCCCATATAGTAACTAATTATAATATCTGTGTGAGGAAACATTACAGTAGAAAGTTTCTTTTTTTTGTAAGATGTAAGGGACTTAAAAAATTTATGTATTTTTAACCACAATAGAAGTTCCCCAAACAAAATTCCCATTGCCAAATTGATCTTCATTATATTTGCAAATCGCCAAACATCAACAAATTACGATCTGTTGCACCTTTTATGAAAGAAGTATTTACACAAATAGATACTTTCTCAAATGGAATGTAATATTTTTAATAATGATGTTATTCACGCTATTTATAAATAAACACAGGATAATAAACCAGTATTAATGCAATTAGTCTAATCAAGTAAACATAACAACTCATTTCAATTAGATAAAGTCAACAAGAATTTACGTAGAAAATAATTAATTAATTAGCATTATTAAGAAAAAATAACGTGTATTTAATAATCTTAGTAAGTTTTAAAATTTAAAACCAAAAACTTTCTCTAAACCTCATTAAGATAAACAACTTTCCGCTTTACCTATCTTTCTTTTTCCTCTCAACGAAACATTTAAAAGGATTAAAAATAATTCTTACCTTAAATCTAAATTCACCAATTGGAGGTTCTGCAAAAGGAATACTCATAAAAGCTGATAATTTCTTTCCATTCCAAGTGGTCATATAACACCCCTTGATGGAACCTTGTGCAGTTTCTACGATGGGTGCTTCACAATTTTTACACAACGAACAATTATTAAAAAGTACGCTTGCATTAACACATTTTATTGCAGATAAAACGACAACAAATAACGAAATAGTAGATAGTCTAACGATTAATCTGGCGGACGATTTCTTCATCGTGAATACGCGTTGAGCGAAGACCAACGTGAAAGTGTAAATGAGTGACCAACTTGAGTAGTGCAGGTAGAGAGAACTAATCTACTTTCGGAGCGTAGTAAGATGTAAGTTTTAATTATACGAGGAGGGAGAAATCGTATTAATTAAAGTATAGGAATATAATGTTCAATAGTTGATCTGTGTTTTTGAGCTATACATTCAGCAATCCAAACGATATTACGACATTCTTGCTCTTTAAGTTTAACGTAGGAGTAAAAAACGCCAAAATGAAATTGTCTCATAAAACAGCATAAATGTAATCGAACTTCGTGTTCGAAAAAGTTATCTTCAAGTGTTTTATCGCCCAAATTATTTCCTGTTCCCTCAAAAATATGATCGTATTCATTGTAAAATTGGGCGATTGCTTTAACTTGTTCGTAATCTTCAGCTTTAATTAATTCGTTTAAACCATCGGGATTCATTTTTCCACATCTCGGATATAACTTGGCACGATCATCTTTACTTAGCTCAGTTCCAAACGAGTTTATAGTTATGATAATCGATCTTCTATCAGCTTCGAAAGCTAAAATTTCGCACATGCAATCAGCGGTTATTCCACCAATATCCTTACAAAGTTTATAAAATGCTTCTAAATACGCTTTGTATAAAGTATTCCGAATTATTTCAACGTTCATTTCATCCATATCATGTTCTGTTATGCAATCAACAAAAAACGGTCCTAACGGTGTATCAACAAGAACCGCGTTGTATAATTCAGCGGGAGTTGTTGCGACATGAATAGCTTCCATTTGCTCAAAACCACCCAAAGGATGACATTTCGGGATTAACTCAGAGATGTGTCTTTGATGTAAAGTTCCCGTTATCAATAAAACAATGTTATCTATCATATAACCGTAGGTTATAAAGTCTAAAAAATGTGATAAAGGTTGAACTGAATGACTTCTTAAGTGGTGAAATTCAATCGCGAGTCTTTCACGTAGTTTTTGATCCAACGTCGATACGGCTATGGGTGATGGCTCATTAGCCAGAAAATTTCCGTAATCCGTACCTTGAAGGTGAATTTTTAAATCGTCGATGGTTTCACATTGGATTAAGTTGTTGTAATCGGCACGTTTTAAAATTCCATTTTTTAAACCGCGACATAAACCATCTAAATAACCATGATCTGCGTTAAACAAACAGTTACCCATTTTTTATTGTAATTAATTAATTTATATTTTGACATTCGTTAATACTATTTTGATTAATTTTTGTCAATTGTCCAACCAACTTTATTCGTTGTCAATGAATTTATTGATCATGAGTTATTAACTTATTACTGGTCGTTATATTATGGATAATAATAATAATAATTCATTTATTGACCTGATAACAAAAACCTGATACAAAAATATAATAACATATCAAAATAAAAATACTATTAATTAAATCAAGTCAACTCGGACGATTGTCAGAGGAAAAATTTTTTTGAAAAACGTTTTGAAAAATCACTTTTATTCCTTGAGAATTTTGCAATTTTCGCCGATTAAGTTTAAAAAATTCTTATTAAATCAACTTCTTGGAATATGAGTATAAAAATTTCCCAAAGTATTAATAAAAGTGTCCTCTAACCACCCCGTTTTGAAAAATAACTTTTAGTTTTTGAGAAAACAATATTTTAAGTTTTTATAAAATTTTCGATGTTGCAATTTTCATCTATAACTTTCAAAATTCGCTGTAAAATTAATTTCTTGAAGGATCCTTGTGGAAATATCACCAATTATTAATTAAAGTATCCTCTTTTTAATGCAAAAAGCCGTTTTGAAAAATCACTTTTAGTTCTTGAGAAATAAATTTTTGAAATAATCGACAATTTTTTCGAATTTTGCAATTTTCGCCGATTAAGTTTTAAAAATTCGTATAAAATCCATTTCTTGGAATATGAGTATGAAAATTTCCCAAAGTGTTAATAAAAGTGTCCTCTTTCCAATGAACCAACCCGTTTTGAAAAATAACTTTTAGTTTTTGAGAAAACAATATTTGAAGTTTTGATAACATTTTCGATGTTGCAATTTCCATCGATAACTTTCAAAATTCGCTATAAAATTGATTACTTGAAGGATCCTTGTGGAAATATCGCCAATTATTAATTAAAGTATTATTATAAACTTAATAATGTTCTTTTATTGAATTCAACGTATTCAGGGATAACGTTCTAATTCCAAATGAGGTTAATTTAACGTGATTATACAGTAATTATTTTAAATTTAAATAAATAGCTGTTGTAATTATCCATATTACTAACCTTGTACCAAGTTACATTTAAATAAATGAATTTCCATCTTTGTCGGTTTTAATTGAATTAACCACGCCGTTTATTTTATTAATTAAACAAATCTCCATTTGATTTAAATTCATATTTAATTTACCACATAGACATTCAAATGAATATAAGTACGAAGGCTTTCACTATATAACTAACACTAGACCTAGAACTAGAAACTTTCTGGTTAAGACATGCGTTTTTTGAAAAAATATTTAACGTTTCGGATGCCATGTTGCAACCTTCTTTAGAAAGTTAGTGTTAGGCTAATTTAATTCTAGTTTTAGTTCAATTAATGAATATTTATATAATATTTAAATAGATAAAACATTTTATTTCATTTTATCTTATTTACTGCTTAATGAAGACTTTAACTACACACACCAATAAAATGTAAATTTCACTCCCCTTCAACACCCCAAAAAGTAATTATTAACCACCCTAAAACACCAAGAACCTAATCCTTGAACGTTAATATCCGCCATAAAGACGTTTAAATCGATTTATTACCACTAAATCATTTTGAACATAATTTTTATTTAAACGCATAGAAAAAATTTATTCTTTGCATCTTGCAATTTTATTTAATTGTTAACCGAAGGTTTCTTCCTATAACTTTTCTAAGGCCGTAAATAATCGTTTTAAATTAACCTTTTTTAGTGATATAATTGCATTTTGTGCACGGTGAAAGCAAGGTTACTTTGAAACGACGACGTTAAAATAAAATTAATTTGTAGTATAGGCAACCAAACTTTCGTTTTTCTAACTTTGTTGATTTAAACGTGCTAATCGCCTATTTCTTTTTGCGACCATCTCACGTCTATCAGCTCTCGTTAATACCGGTGGTTTTTCTTCTACGACTTCCTCTTCAACGTTTTTATGAGGTTTGTCTTTAAAAGGTTCATCGGGGACGTTTCCTGCCATACAAGCTATTGTATAATTCCCAGCACCTGGGTCGTCAAAAATTAACAGCCCCGTTTCTTTGTTGGTCCACTTACAATATTCGATTTCGAACATAACCTAATTGGATCAAATAATTTGAGTTCATAAATTAATTTCAACTTACTTTCATCCCTAATTTTTTAGCCCGCCTTTGAATGGTGTGCGCTGTAAATATCCCCATTACGACGGGAATATGGAGAGATCTGGCCGAATTAAAAGTGCATTTTAAGAAATCCGTCCCATAATCTGTAATAAATAAGTATAAAGAAATTAATGGGTTTAATAAATGTTGTGGAGAAATTACCGCAATGCCGATATTCAGGTTTGATACAAACGGTGTATATTTTCAAATAAACGTCGCAATTAAACGATTCGAAAATGTTTACTTTTCGGCTTAAAGTTCTCCTAATTTTCATACATTTTTCTTGCGCCTCGCCGTCTTTCATTATGGTGCCGCTAAAAACTCGGCCAAAATCGTCTTTATGAACAACTCTATTTAGACAACATCCAACAAGATCAGGAGGATCCAATGCTAAAAACAATTTTATTAATAATTTTATATCGGGAATTTCATATAATACGCAATATATGAATGAATAATTACGAAACTACTATGCACTTGCATTATCCCACATAAAATGCAACATAGCTTAATAGTACGGGCATTGGGTAGTTTTGCAAAGGAAACGTTTTGCTTGGAAAATGGTGACGTCCTATGATAACCATGAGTTTTTGGCCGTCTAAGAGACGCACGGCTAAACCAGAATGTTTCTGCTTCTAGGTCTTGTTAACACTAGACCTAGAACTAGAAACATACTCTCAAGATGGCTAAATCCGAATGATTCTAGTTCTAGGTCTTGAATTAGTTCTAGTGATAGTGTAAAACTAGAACTAACATTAGACCTAGAATTAGAAACATTTAGACATGTTGCATTTTAAGTGAAATTCACTGTATAATAAAATTATATACTATAATACTGATTAGATTTTAGAGTAAATTTACCATAATTAATTGCAACCAATGATGTAGTATCTCTCATTTGAAACATACACTGATCCATAAACGATTTCTTACTAACTTCGTCATCGCTCATTTCTGAGTTTTTCGTTAAAACGTCTTCTGGTAAAAAATATTCCTAAAACAATAAATTTATTTTAATCCTCCTTTTTAATTTTTTTTTATCAAACTTCGATCATTTCGAGAACTTCCGCGTAACGCTCCTCTTTTAAATCAATTATTTTTATATCATCCTCTAATTCTCTCCATATAACAGGCGCGTACATGCGCTCTTTTAGAATTTTTAATTTATCTTCGATTACCTCTTCTTCTTTAACTTGGAGCATGCGCTCATTTTCCAATCTTAGTCTTAAACTCATTTTGCCTCAAAGAAAAAACGATTTTTATTTTAATTTTAACAACAAAATGGTTAATAAATGTTTTGACAGAATAAAATTAAATCAGTTATGTCAAAATAATTTGAAATAAAAAAAATTATTGAAAGAAAACTTCGTTTATTAATTAATTATCCAGTTTGAGAACTTTCTTTAGCAGCAATCGTCGCTAATTCATTAATACAAGAATCGATATCAGATGCGGCTTTATCAGCGGTGTAATTTTTAACAACTTCCGATTGAACCCAATCGATTAAGTTTTTATGCAAAAGTTTCTTTTGAATGTACTGTATAGATAATTGATAATCCAAACGTTCCTTAACATCATCGTGAACTTGCAGCAATCGAGACCTATAAATACCTTCGAGTTGAAATTTGATGTTCTCTCGTTTCGCATTTAACAGTATCAATTGGCCATTGTTGCTAATTTGAAGTTTTTCGTCGTGTTTAATTAAATCCTCCCAATATTCGATTTCATCTTGTCGTTTTTTGATCCACATCGCTTCGTATTGATCAATTTCTTTGTCCAAGAACTTTGAAATGGTTGGACCTGCATATTTCGTTGCTACCGCGCAAAGTAACGACATTGAAAGTAATGCGTAATATTCATGTTCCAAAACGTATTTTTCTTTGCTGATTAAGTAACTACCGAAGGATAATAAGAAAATGTATGGCCCAGTTACCCCTGTTTTTGGGTAAAAAATATCGAACCATTCATCTGGTAAGAAACCCAAACGTACTTTTCCTTGTTCTTGTCTTATTGGGCGAGATTTTTCAATTACGTGAGGTGGATCATCTTTTCCACCGCTTTTTCCATCGGACTCAGCTTTTTTGGGGGTTTCTTTGCATTGTTCTAATTTTGGTTTTTGCTTAACCTCCTCTTTCTTCTCGCAGGGAGTTGTACAAAACGCGCGTTTATTACATTTAACTCCTATTTTTATTAATTTCGTGTTGTTACAAGGTCTTATTATTGTTTCTATTAAAAGGGTACACTTCGTTGAGATACCGTTTAAGAAAACCATTGTATTAAAATTGTTTGTCAAAATATGACAGTTCATTAAATTTTACATTTTCATTACGGTTTACTTTGATATGTTACAGATTTATTATTAAAATGTGTTTATTTGTTGTATTCAAACATTTTGGTGGAGGCGCTGGCAAATATCAATGAATTTATTATTTTAAATTGACTACAACGATATTTCCTATTACAATTTATTCGAATTAATAAATTATATTGAAGCTAAATTTAATCTGCTACTGAAAGTTTAATTTAAATTTAATTAAATTATTTGCATCTCTTTTCAAAGGTTTTTTAACTCGAAAATTGCCACTACACATACGTGGCCTAGAAAATAGGATGTAATGTAATTCAAGGGGTCATAAAATTTTAGGGGTTTAGCCTCCAAAGAAAAACTCGTCAACTCTAAGCTCGCGAGGTATCACAGAATCATAAAACGAGATCTAAAAGGATGTGTTTCATATTTTATAAAGGTGTGTTCTATTTGAAATTTATCTAAAATTAAATCTTGTGTACAAGAGAAGGGGATAAAATTTTAAGATAAATTTGGTTAGGTAGGGTTGGATAAATTAACGATTACAGTCTTAATTCGGTCTCAAGATAAAGTGCCTTGCGTCTCTTTAAGAAATAAAAACCAAAAAGTCGTCTATTTTGAAGGTTTGAAGACTTGATGTAAAATAAAATTCAGAGTATCAACAATTGGGTTGAGATGGGTTGGGTTGATCATAAAGATGGTAGATTGTTGTAGCAACTGTAGATTCATCTTTGCCATGAAGACAGATTCTGCACTCATTGCACCCACTGTTCAATTAATGGCTCCTTGAACTGAAGCAAGTCTATGTCTCTTATAACGAAGTTCTTTAGCTCTTTTTCTTATGACCAAATTCTGTAGCTGGACAGCAAGCTGTTGCCCTTACCTTCGTCGACCAGTGAAAACTGTTTCTGACTGTGGTGTTATTCCTTGAGCTTCCTAATGACGGATTTGAAACATTTGATCTCTCAATCCATAAATCCTGACCAGGACTCCAATTCAATCTTCAGCGACGCAAAATAGTACGGGCTCTGATCATGACAAAGCTATCTTCTTTTGCTATTGTTTTTACAGCCACTTGTAAAGTCTTGCCCCATCATGTTAATTTAGTCAATTCTCGAGCAATGTTATTATCACACAGCTCCTCGATATTTCTTATTCAGTATTACGGACTACTGTCCTTTAGGAAGGCCTGTGTAGTGCTAAGATAAGTTTAAAACTTATTAGAAATATGTTTATTAAGTGTATAATTTTCGATTCAGTTATTTCAATGTAATTACAATGTGACAGCCATCAACATACTTTTTTAAATTATTGACTTAAGTCAGTTAAATTTTTGTTATTTTGGATTGATTAAAATTGATTGTGAAAAATGAGTAGCCACTACCAAATTTGTATTGATAAATTAACACGGTGTAATTACGTAAACGTTGACGATGAAGATGAAAAATTACAAAATCTAAAAGAACGACTTGTCGCGCCTATAGTTTGGTGTCGATTATCATCAGGATATAAGATTGTGGATTTAACAAGTCAGTTATATTTACCCACATTAGAATTAATGAAGGTAAAAAATTATAAAACAAAAATCGGTACTTATAATAGAACTAAATCCATCTATGTTGGCATTAACATAGATATTAAATTTCGCGCAACGATTTACCGACCACAGGCAATTTGCAATAACTCTTTAGTCACTGACAACCTATACTCAATAATAACAGTATTGAGTACGTCCTTCATAAATTTATTACACGGTGCGTAACCGTAAAGTTCTCTTCAATCTAATATAAATAACTGGAACGTACCTAACAATTGTTTATTATGAATTACTTATTGAACGTATCGTATAATTTGATTATTTTTCCAGAAATATTACATGTGCCAAGATGTACTGTGTAAATCGTCTGGGTTATTAAACGATTACATGAGCAGAAGATCTTATTACAACGCGTGTTTATTACAAATGAAAGATACGAATTCTTTAGCCGTAATCGACGAAGCTGAAAATAAAGATGAATTGGCAGGAATATGTTTATTAAGAGCTGTAAAAAAAGTTGATTTTGGAAGAGTATTTAGCAGAACAATTCTTCAACAGGGCCACTCATACAATCTATGCACCGACATAAAAACAGCTTTAAACAGGCAAGTCGATATTTACGCCGATTACGATTGCGAAATATTTTTAAGACTCTATTGTGTGTGTATGAATCCGTACTATAGAGGGAAAGGTTTGGGATTTGCTTTAATGAGAACCACGATTCAAGTTGCTAGGTCGTTGAAAATTCCAATAATAATGGGCATTTTTGACTCTTATCAAATGCAACAGAACGCCCTCAAACTGGGATTTTCCGTGGTAACGGAAATTCAATATTCCGATTGGAAAGACGACACGGGAAATGTTATATTCCAGGATATCGGCGAAAGAAACGAAACCATCGCATTAATGATTGCTAAAATCATACCTGAATTGTACCCTGACTACATAACCGGAAATTTCCCCGAACCACCTAAAGAAGAACCTAAAAAAGGTAAAAAAGATAAGAAAGGTAAAAAAGATAAGAAAGGAAAAAAATAAAAATGATTACATCGATTTATATCTAATTATGAATGTCTATGTTTAATAAAAATGGGTAAAATGGTTAAAAAAGTTTATCAATACAAATGTCGCCATCGGCGTCAGTTAGCAAATTGATGCGAAAACGTAGTCCGCAAATCGTCCCGGGCTTTGGTTGAGGTCGCGTAATTTACCCTTCGGCGTTCCAAATTTAATGATCAATCGGAAAACTCTTCGTTCGACGGTGCATTTCCCGCATTTCCCAGTGTCGATTGTACGTCGAGAGCGCCGCCATCTGCCATCACAAATGCGGAACTCACACCTAACTATACTCTGTTTTTAAACCAGGAGGAGTAAACGCGAAAGTCAGATTTACACTAGGAAAAATCACCAGAAAATATCACTAGATATTTTGGAGGTAAATTTAAATTAATAATTATTATTATTTATTTATTTACTTATTATTGTATTTATTTTCGTTTTTTATCGTCAACACTAAACATACAAATTAACATTGAAGTTATGAGTGTATTTATTTCAAAATATAATAAAGAAGAGTTTAAGACACAAAATTTACAATAATGACACGAAACTGTCGAATTGTCAATAACCTAACCTTCAAATTCAAAATCAAAATTGCCTGTGTGTGAACCTTCCTCGCATTCAACCAATCACGTGCAAGGTCAATCTGGTGACAAATTTAAAATACTCCTCCTGGTTTAAAAACAGAGTATAATTGCCAAAGAAAACTTCAAGGTATAATTAATGTTTGTAAACAAAACTAACCTTACCTAACATTCCTTCACGCTATAATTGACATTACAAAAGAAAACTTCACGCTATAATTGCCATTACTAATTGCCAAAGAAAACTTCATGGTATAATTAATGTTTGTAAACAAAACTAACCTTACCTAACATTCAGCGTCTGAAGACACAGGGCTAAACCCGAAACTTAAAAATATACAACTTAGCGCTGAATAACAATTAAAACTAGAACTAACACTTGCACTAGAACTATACTCTGTTTTTAAACCAGGAGGAGTAAACGCGAAAGTCAGATTTACACTGGGAAAAATCACCAGAAAATATCACTAGATATTTTGGCGGTAAATTTATATTAATAATTATTATTTATTTATTTACTTATTATTGTATTTATTTTCGTTTGTTATCGTCAACACTATACATACAAATTAACATTGAAGTTATGAGTGTATTTATTTCAAAATATAATAAAAAAGGGTTTAAGAACACAAAATATACAATAATGACACGAAACTGTCGAATTATCAATAACCTAACAAATTAGTTATTAATTAAAAAATTAAAAGTTGCAGCGAGTATGATTGATAATTGATAATACACCTAAATGACATATTTAAATGACTCCAAAGTAATCGTATTTGCAATGTCGGGGTTAGATGTCATATTTGGCAGGCAGATGAAAGTATGGATATGAAAATGATATATTTAAAGGACTGGACGAGAGCAAATCAAGTGAATGGATTTGTGGCAATGAAAATATGGCATGATGAGAAAGGAATCGGCAAAATTTTGAGAGAATTTTTGAACAACTTGGAATAAATCATTTAGACACATTTTGGTTAATTCCCAATTAGTTGTTGATCATTTTGAATAATTTTAGAGTTAGTTTTTCAACGTTTTGAACAACTTGGAATAACAATAAGTTGTCTTTTAATAATTTAGACAAGTTTAGCGATTATATTGATGAATCAAACTACTCACATTTGGTACAAAATGTACTATCCAGAAGAAATAGGTCAAGGATAACATTTTCACCAACTAGTTTTTAGCCGGCAAAAGAAACAATCTTATTTGGAATAGACAATAAAACAACCACAGGTACAATTTATTACTGCTTCTTGGTAAATAAAGTAATCATAAAATACTATAATATAGAAACTATTATAAATTAGATAGCCCATAAAATATTATGTAATTTTGGAATTACATTACTAATTATATGTCGGTGAAAACAAATCTAAAGCCGAACCTGAACACGCGCAGACGCTTTCAGTTCTATCACGTTGGCCGAGGACATAAACACAAGTCCTACTTGAAAATCAGTTCGTATCTCGCGGTCGCGGAGTGAGTATCGTTGTGCGTCCGATCATAAGTTGGTTCACGTGATTTTATCCCCGTGATTTGGAGAGAGAGATTTGTGTTTGGAGTTGCACCCTACTTTTATTTATGCTTCCCTCCTCGAAACTTTCGGATTTCGACAAGGTAGAATTATTTTACAGCTATTTTCCCCTTTTTTATCGCTACCCTTTCTTATTTTTTTTTATTTTTGAATTGCTTAAGAAGACTTCCCTTGTAAAGCTCGTCTGCTTTTTTCAAGTTCGTATTTGGCGCGGACAAGACTCTTCTCGATTTATTCGAGAGCCCACGCAATCCCTCAACCATTCTAAATTGATTTAATTGACTTAATGCCCTGACTTGATTAATTCGTATTTAAAAATAAATGGATTAACGGGACGGGGACGGTTTAAAGCGTATTCATTTATGACAATAAAAAAATATGCTACGATTCCTTATTTGTACCCTTTTAAATTCGGGTTCATTTACATTGCTATTTTTCATGAAATTATTTTTGATTAAGATTCTGGAAATAATGCATGATATCATACATATTTTTTAAGATTTTTATCAGTGATAAAATTAATTGTTATAAAGTATACATTTGCATTATCACCAAAGTGCACATATGCTAGCTTAGTTCAATAATAATATACAACAACATAAAGCCGAATAACAACTAAAACTAGCACTCGAGTTTAGCGGTGCGCCTGAAGACGCACGGCTAAACCCGAAACTTTCTAGTTCTAGGTCTAGTTCATTAAAAATATGCAACAATCTGGAGCTAAATTAGAACTTACGTATTACAATTAGAACTAACTTATTCACCTGTATATAATAAAATCAAGTTTGGAGATATGGGCCACTTTGTAATTTCTTTTTGATGATGCAAAGGGTTTAAAGGAATTGCTAATGAATAATTATCTGGGATTGAACAGAAAGATTTCGTTTTATTCGGTTGACAAGAATCTGAGGCATTTACCTGGAACGATAAGTAATTAGGAAATCTGTGCACGCATCTGGTTAATTGATGGAGAACGGTGTTTTGTCAGTGAGCGAGTTGTGCTTTAACGTAATGAGCCTTTTAAAAAAAATCTTGATCAGATTAAAGTATGTTAAGCTCTTTTTTATTTAATGCGCCAGAAACTGGTAAATTGAGACGTAGTTTGTATTCGGAAAAAGTTTCGCAGAAAATCCAACTTTTAATTAAGTCGAGCTATTTTTTAACTTAAATAAACAAAACATTAAGACTATCCAACTAATAATTAAAGTTTGTTTTAAATTAAAAAAGAATAAAAATACAAGGTTCCACCGAGATTTGAACTCGGATCGCTGGATTCAAAGTCCAGAGTGCTAACCATTACACCATGGAACCTTCATTTTTGGAGTAAACGATTCCTCAACATCGCCAATTAACTTAATTAAAACAAGTACTGATACCACATTGTAAACATTTACGTTTTTATCTCTCACTTTTTTATTAAAAACATTTCTCTCAGAATTAATTTCTACCGCTCCCTTCCCATTTCTTCGCCGAGGTCATAGAACTCCGAAAACAATAGGCGATGGTAACAATAAACGATCGTCTATTTCCGATGGAGTTCTACTAAAACATTAATAACTCGTCCCCAAGTAAATTCACAACGATCTAATTAACCAGGCATTGCTATATTTTAGATGGGTGCAGTATTCCAGGCATGTTTGCGGACACGTTAAGTGAATTTGGGCTGTTTATATTGGCCATTGCCCCCGTGTTATAGCAGCCCCGAAGCTGATTTTGTTATAGGGAGAAACTATATTATGGGGGGATCGGTTCCAGGTTATGTTTATATTCCGTTACAGTGAGCTTTAACTAAAATTAATTGAATATCTAAAAAATTTATTAAATCTTCATTAAATACTACATCACTAATAACATAATTAATTGTAAAATTAATTAAAATTTTAATTTAATAATTACTTTAATGATGTTAGATTATTTTATCTAACTGTAAACAATAAAATCCATGTAGATATCAAATTACTCGTGGCTAAGCAATTAAATAAAACAAGCAGGGTTTATATGTATGAGTATTGAAAATGCTGCAATTTTAAAGCAGATCAAAATCGCAAGTGCTGCAAGAGTTTACGAGAAGCTTCCATGAACGCAATCGATTATGCTTCTCTGCGGTTCTCGCAGTGCATTTTGTTACCATCCTGAACGAAATACATTGTATCAAGTGGGGACGGCTACAAGATTGCGTGCGAACCGCAGCGTCTAAATATTCGTTAATGATAAATTTATTTTCGAGATTGAAAAAGAAGGAAATTTTATATTATTTTTTATTTAAAATATGTCTATTATTACAATAAGAATTGGTAGAAATTGAATTACAAAGGATATTCCTAATAGAAGTTTGGATATTCGTAATAGAAGATTATCTTTCTGGCAGAAGGCTAGATACTACTTGTGGAAGACTACATATCATTGGCAAAAGACGAAATACTTCTGGCAAAAGATTAGATAGTTCTGACAAAAGGCAAAATATTACCAAAGGAAGACTGTATCTTCGCTACATAAGCATTTTAGACTGTTTTTAACACTCGTGTATCTCAACCTTTATTATGGTTTATACAAAAGTTTTATTATGTGTATTTTTGACATAAAATTTTAAAGTGGTATGTTTTATGACTTCATTTCCGAGAAATAAAATTTTGTGCATAACAATTTTTTTAATGTTAAAGTTGAAATTTCTACAACTTGACACATTAAAAATATTTAGTTGTGAGATAACGTTGAGTAAGCACAATAACTTTAAAAGGAACAAGCAGGAACCGCGGGTCGTTGGCGGCCGTAGGCAGTTTTTAGGTAACCTCTGGCTCTAAAAAAGATCGGACTATCAAAGGGGTCCCTTGTAAGCGCGTATTTTCTTTTCGTTTTCGAAAATATCTTATCTCGTAGCCCCCGTAATGGGCACAGGTCCGTTAAGTGTGCACATTATTCACGAACGGAGCACAGCACCGACTCTACCGTGCGTATTAAGATAAGCTCGAACCGGGAGATATTAAATGCTCATCGTCGCTGCAAATAAATAATCCCCGCATATTTCCGCGTCCCATTTTCGGAGGTTCGAAATAAGTCGCTGAATTATGGCAATTTGTCCAGTGCGCTTGGGATATATAAACGCGCTGCTTGCGAATTA